TGGTGCCTTTGACCTGACTCACGGTCACCATGTACTTGGAAAGGATGGGATTCGACTATGGCGCGTCGATTGGTGAAGGTTTCATGGTGATCGGTGCCAGAGGCTTGAAGCATGGAATTGCCTACAAACATATTTCTTCCGACTTTTGTATTTTCAGCTACCTTTGACCTGCCCTAAGGTCACCATGTTCTGGAGAAGATAGGTTATCGACCAAGCGGTGTTAAATGATGAAGGTTTCATGTCAATCGGTGCAAAAGACTCGGAGCATGGGGCTATCAACAGGAACCTCAGGAGCTTTCTAGAGAAACCTCAGCACTACTCATGTCTTAAGATAACACTAGGTTGCGCTACTGCAGCAACCGTCAATACATAATAAAGATATAAATTTTAATAATTTTCTAATCCAAACTACGCTGTAAAACGCCTTGTGACAGCACTACGCCTGTTCTCTGCGGTCGCGACCACCGTCGTCATCACAGCCGCCGTACGCACCTACACTGATTAAAAGAACGTTTGCAATTTGCCCAGCGGGCATGGATCTGTTACTTAAGAGAGCATCGGTTGATGTTTGGAGCGGGGCGTCACATGAACATGTGATGATCCCATTCCCAAAGCTTAAGTGCGTGTTGAAAAGAGCCCCTGCGGTTGACGCCATTTGAATCAAAGCCATAGGGGAGAAAGGGTGTAATGTAACGCTTTGTTAAATTCGCGGTATAACAGATGCATGTTCGCATATTTTTTTGTCTAAAAATATATCTTAAGCTTTTACAACACTTATTACACAAACATTCAGAAACATTTTTATATTGAAAACGTTACAGAGCACATACGTTGGAAAAGTAAGGCAACTGAAATGCATCACTTTCATAGTGGTGAGCCGGTTTCAAATGATATTCATTCCTCAGGGTCGTTTAATTCAAATCGAAATTCTGAGCTATTCACAAGGGTTTTTAGAAACCTGGCACTGCTGATGAAATAGTACGTGGCGAATGTAACAATAATGTGAGTATATATATATATATATATATATATATATATATATATAATGTAACAATAATAAGTGCAAACATGTGAGAGATACTCCCTTCAAGGGTGTATTCGCGGCGACCCGAACGACAAGGGACCTATGCCGCCGACGTCAGTCATGACGTCATACCCCATTGATTCTGCGCCTCTCGGTTGTTCGCAGCGACCCGGACAACCAAGAGTCTTCGTGGCGTCACGTAGAATCTTTGCCGGAGGCACATCATTTTTTCCGTAACTTGATCAAAGTGAGACAAAAGGACACAACAGAATCAATGATAAACAACTTACTTTGCATGTCCAAGGCCAACCACGGATGAGAAAGACGTATTTTAGGCGTTTCAAATAGCACAATTCGCAGTTTCTATTGTAAGGAGCACGCATAACACCAACAAACAACAATTTTAGTATTTTTGCATGTGCAGTTATGATCGCGACAATTACACAGCTGTAAATAGAAAACTGTCGCACTGTGAACACTTTCAGCAAAAATTTTATGTGACGTCACATAGAATGCAACATTATTGGTGTACTGTAAGTAAACCCTGAATAACACCTGAGCAAACACGTTCACAGGCGAATCAGCCACGAACAAACTCGGGGGAAAAGCTACCATTCATTGTGTGTCTGTGCAGTGTGCTTGTTCTGAACGAACATGAAGTGCTGTTTGTACCCAGCTGCCAAAGACTGTAGTCCAAATTACTGCACAATATGCGTGTTCCGGAGCAACAGAGAATGCTGAGTGCCGGTGATCAGCATCACTCATCGTCCGGCGCATCGTGTCGCCATCACTGCACACGGCAGCGCACGCATAGCTTGAGCAGAGTTTGACTACCCCGATCCCAAACCTGTGCCCTGACCCCCGCTGCCCAGCCGCCCGGCCGCGCCCAAAGTCCGGGGCACGGACCGGCCCACTGTATGCACCGACTTCTTGACAACGAAACGCCTCGTTTGAGGCGCGCAGGCGCCGTGAACAACGAGCAGCATTGCATGGGTTCGTGTCCGGTCCCGGATATTGTTGGAATGGAGGGCTCAAAGATGTTGCGTTCAAGTCACACGCCGAGCCTAGCCAGCGTCAGCACGTTGAGTCCGTGTCTGTGTCCGTGAGTCCAGGTTCAAGGGGCGAGTCCCGAGTCCGACGCGGCGTGGGACGACTCGCGGCGCTTCCCCCACCCCCAGCCTGCGCAGCATGCTCCCTCCCTTCCACAGTGGTCTCCACCCCACCACAGGTGACTGTTGTAGGTCGGAACGCACGACGTGCCTGTCCATTAACCCCGCATTAAAGTCATTCGGCCAGCGCGGTGTTGGGCCGCAGTTCGGCGTAGCGACAGACAAAGAGTAGCGTGTCGTGCCCGGCTGTAATTACGGCCGGCCCAGCGCTCGCTATGCACAGTCAAAACTCGAGATCGGAAATCCATACAGGTTCAGAGTGCGTGCCATATGCGAGATCCTGAGAGCCTTGCGTCGTGCCGATGTGTGGCTTTCTCAAAGGGGACAAGATGCGGTCGCTTCAGCTGTTGAAGGGAAATTAGGGGATGGGTTTGGATTTCAGTCATTCTCATCCTTAGAGCAAATGATTTCCACGCCACTAAGACAGATTCCCGACAGACAACGATCCACGTGGTCATCTCACTTGCACATTCCCTTGAGAGCAATCAGCAACAGCACCTGTTACTGTGGTTCATCTGTTGTGCTTTAGCTGAGCTAGGACATTGATTTGGTGGCTTTCTATGAAATGACTGCTAATAACCTGGATATGCTAACCGCGCTAAAGTAACATTATCACCTTAGAACAACCACGTGACAAATTTATCACAAAACTAGCGAAACACAAACGAGTTCACGGACATTCACGCATAATGATTACCTTTAACATCACCACCGTTATTGGAAACGAAACGACGGTTGCCATGACAACGCCAAGCCGTGATCACTGCTACTGCGTTGTGAGGCCGCGGCCAGTGACCCCACCTTAACTGCGTGAGGGTGCGAAAGCACGCCGCGCTGTTTGTAGAAAGCTCATAACTGGCGGCACCGGACTACCTCCAGGAAGTGTTGTGGGAGGGCAGAGGGTGGATAAGGCAGGGGAGGGGGTCTACAGCCATGTCACCAGGGGGTGCCGCGTTGCGGCGAGGGCAATAATACCGCATGTGGTTGGGTGTGGTGTTGTGGTCCTCAGAGGCGGATCTAAGAGTTCTTATCTAAATGTCGTCCCCAAAGACCTCAAGACGCACGACGCATAAGCCGTTTGAGAGGCGAAAGAAAATGTACTCAGGAGAAATAATTTTTGCACATGACGTCCAGATGTACCGGAGCCAGCTTGGGAGCCGAAGCTAGATGTGCTATACTAACACGCGCTCGGGTGGAGGTGGAGATCGAATTAATCCCCGGAGGTTTTTCCGGAATGGTTTCCGAGCGACGCGGCGTAGCCGCGCCAACGTTTGCTTAGCTGTAGACAATTAAATAACAGATCGTTTGACATCCAGATGTACCTTGTGAGATCGCTGACCTGCAGCAGGTCAAAGTCAGGTCATTGATTCAGCAAAGTCAATTTCTAGGCGACAGTTCAATCTGATGTGACAACGGAGTGTTAGGAGAAGCCATACGCCTTTGAGATAGTTTCGTAAACAACACAACAATCGAAGATAAAGTTCCATTGACCTAGGGTCAGATATGAAGGCAGACCTAGGTAAAAAACAACCTGTCTTATTACTCTAGAGCTTACTGTAGCGGACAATTTCTGGTGCTCATTTCGAATGTTTCGATGACAGAAAGTTTTAAAGGAAAGGTGTGCGTGGAACCTGACGTCCGGTATCTGCATAACACAAGCTCCTAGGAGCGTGGCCGTTTGGGTGGGAATGATAAGCGCTGGGGTCGTCCAGGACTGTATTGCGCGAGAGGCGCTGCGAACAGGGACACAAGCAGCACGAAGTCACATGTCACGCACTGGACAAAGGTCCGCACAGGCAAAGCCTGTCCCTGCGTGAGAGGTTTTCTAAAGCACCACGACAGGCAAAGCCGTTCATTCGTTTTCGAGACTCCGACCTGTGATGGACACTGCCGGAGGCCTCCGTGCTCAGGCATGCCTGGGAAACAGAACAGGAACGAGAAACCCGATCCAGAATCACGAGAAAGCTGGCAAAGTCGTCTGTAAAATATGCTTAAGACTGTGAACGAGCATTGTAGGGCTCTGTAATGATGCAGCGGCTTTTACACCATTTTGAGAACAGAGTTTGCGCTGAATTTGATACCGCACTGCTCATCCTTGCGTTATAGCGGGATGATTAGGTACAACACTTTCAAGTTGTTCAAACTTGGTGTTGTGTAGAAACAAACTTATAATTTTTTAGATTGCTTATAGCGTACATAGCGAGGTTACGCCTTGTGTTAACTCTTGGGCTTTGTGCCATTAAGCATGGTAACGTACGTGGTTTAATGTTTTTAAGACACAATGCAAAAATATGCCTGCGCAAAAGTTGAGAGCAGCGGCTTATATTAGAAAACTTGTGTCATATCGATCACGTGTATTGTCACAGTACATGCATACGACAGCAACAAATCCGCCGAATACCCCATACCCCACCAAGCACTGTCGGACATGGCAGCATTGTCGGGTGTAACCACCTCTCAGATAGTCATGCCTCGCGCGTCTCCAATCTAAATCTAAATTTGCATCAGCATACCATCAGATCACCGCGCAACAGGCCTCGCTACTGGCGTTCCTCCACCCACGCCATGCACGGCGGCACCGACGACGAGAATGCCGTCGCAGTCGGGCCGCCCCCACCGCCGGCGCCATCGCCGCGGGCGTCGCCAGAGGTCAGGACGGGCGCGCCTGGGGCTGGGGCCGGGGCCGGGGCCGCGGCCGGCAGTCGTCGCTGGACGGTGGGAGGGCCGCACGCACGGCCTGCGGAGCGGCGCCCAGTGGCCGGGGAGCGACCTGCGGTGGCCGGCCGGCTGCGGAGGGCCGTCAGCGCGCCGGCGGCGGGGCTCAGTCTCTGACGCCGGGCCGGAGGTGAGGCGCAGGTCAGCCGCGAGACGGCCGGAAGCGGCCGCCGTCAGGCCTGTTAACGAGCGCGCTGCTAGACAGCTGCCCAAACACAGGACCGGGGCGGGGGGGGGGGGGCACGGTGGTTCCGGTGAAGGTGTGACTATAGGGCATCTGGCGTGGTGTGCTGCACTTTCTGTGGGCGAGTGCACTGGCAGAAGCCATCGCGTTCATCCGTTTGAGCTCGCGCACGAGTCTAACCAGCCTCATATGCCTGTCATTTGGGGTTGGCCTCATAACAGTTGGACATGACAGCAGCACACGAACACTCGCGTCTCGCTGCCAGCCTACACCATATTAGAGGATCTCTAAAAATGCATCTCACTCATTTGTTTTACCGAACGAAGCTCTGTAACTGCGCTTCAGTTCTAGAGGGTTGAATTAGAAGCAGAATACAGCTGAGCTAGTCAACGTCGCTTTTACTACAGTGACCAAAATTAACGGGTGTCACACTTTATGAAGTCGTCAAATGCGTTGATACACGACAAAAAACCATCTGTTCGTCTGACAACAGAGAAACGATAGGTTTCCTGTTCATGGAAGCTACTAGGCATGTGAAAAACGTGTTTGTGCTGTTTTATTGGCTGCTACAGTTTCGTATGAACTCATGAACTTCATCGTGCTACATAGACTGTTAACACCCAAATCAGGTGGCGCCCGGTGGTCACGCAGCACATGTGCGCTTGTATTTCGGGGACCTCCTCTGTGCGACGGCATTGAGACAGGAGCTGGATGCTAAGTTGATGTATTCTGGAAGACACAAACAAACCCACAGGCCGTTTTAGTCTTACTTGAAATATGAGAGCATTTTCCGCTTGAGGGGGCCTGTCTGTTCTGTCTTGGCGTCCTGTCTGTCCTGTCCTGGGGCCCTGTCTGTCCCGTCTTGGGGTCCTGTCTGTCCTGTCCTGAGGTCCTGTATGTCTTGTCTTGTCCGGTCCCATGCTGGGGTCCAGTCCTGCTGGGTCCTGTCCAGCCCGGCTCGAACCTCACCCATTCTGGAAACTGCTATCGTAACCAGAGCAAAGAAAATGTTCCAAGCCAAAAAAGAGGCGAAAAGGTGGCCCTAACTTCATGTTAGTAAAATAAAAACCAACTTTTGGGCGGAATTGTGTTGGAATACAAAACAGGAAAGTCGGTGGAGAGATGGAATATATTAGTTCACAATCCACTAGGGTAAAATCTGATCAATATAAACCTGATTTGGTTTTTAATCAGAGTATCAAAGACTAGCTAGAACCTTCCGCATTTTGTTCTCACGTTGGAAAATGCTCCTTCACACTGGCATGTGTGAGGTCAAAGGGATTGGACCCACAGACAATAGCTTCGCTTTGCATGCACAGAAAGCTGCCGCAGCTCTCACTATCGCTCTGGTATCTGACGTTTCCAAAGTGATCTGGCGTTTCTCTTTACGCTGTCATCTGTGGACAGGGCTTGAGTTTGGACATGAACGCCATGGAGAGCTATAATGCTACAAAGTGGCCCTTCTGATTAAAGCGATACCTTTGTCCAGAAGTTGACGGTCTGTGAAAAGGGACCGTGCTAATATGGCCCTTTTCGCTGCTGGCATTTGCATGGTCGAAGTCCGCTTTTTAAATCACCATCTTTGTTTGACCCATGGGAAATAAAGCTTGACACCTTCTTTGGCAGGACCAATCCGTTTAAGCACCACTCCCATTGGATTGCACTGATGTCAAAGGCCAGATATCGCCTGAATACCTGTGCAAGCTGTTGCACAGGTCCTCGCCCAGCAGTGCAGTGCACGGAATCCAGAGTGATACCATTTCCCAATGCCACTCTCAATACACGTGGTACGAAACCGGCATCCCCACGGCATCCGTGCCTGGCCCGTCGGCTACGGGCATCCGCCCGGCTTCCGTGCCTGGCCCGTCGGCTACGGGCATCCGCCCGGCTTCCGTGCCTGGCCCGTCGGCTACGGGCATCCGCCCGGCTTCCGTGCCTGGCCTGTCGGCTACCGGCACCCGTCCGGCTTCCGCCCCTGGCCCGTCGGCTCGGTTTTCCGCCTGATGCCCGCTAATAGGCGCGCCCCTTGGGCCGAACTGTTTTGCACTCGGGCGCGCCAGTTCCCTGGAAGGCAAACGCTGTGCGGCTATCGACCGAGGCCCGCATAATACCGCCGCCCGCCATTCACCTTCAGCGCCCGTGCTCTTCAGCGCCCTCCGCCGCGGACACCGGTCGATGTGGGTCCGCTGTCGCGGTGCGGACGACACGGCCGCAGGGGCTGTGTAAACAGGCAGACCCTGTCGCCGTCTGCTGCGGCGAAGAGAAGTGCAGCGTCACGCAGGTGCTGTGCGGACAGGCAGACGCTGTCCCCGTCTGCTGCGACGAAGAGGAGTGCAGCGTCACGCAGGTGCTGTGCGGACAGGCAGACCCTGTCGCCGTCTGCTGCGGCGAAGAGGAGTGCATCGTCACGCAGGTGCTGTGCGGACAGGCAGACGCTGTCTCCGTCTTCGGTGGCGGACAGAGGTGTAGGCGCACGCGTGCAGTTGCTGTGGAAATATGCAGGCCTTTATACTATACGCGGTGGCTGACGACATTGCTTTCATTCAAAGGTCAACATGCAGACCCCGCTGCAGGCCATGGTGACCAGCTGTCTAAACAAACAGCGCAAGCACCTGTGCATCACGTGTTAACTCCAGCAATGCTAAAGCATTCTTGCGACCGCTTTACCTAAAATGTGTAGCGACACAATGGGACGTTTGATGCAGTCGCTTTGTTCACGTCTTTCTCCGGACTGAGCTCGAAGATTAACACTAGCAGCAAAGGCCTGACTTGATTGATGACTGTTAGGCCATGACACTGTTCGTGGAGGACCTGGACATCTCTCTTGCTATTACTGTAAAGAGACTTCTCACGAAGTCTTGGACGTCTAATACTAGCCACCACCTCCCAGTTTTCTTTCGCTGCATGCTTTCTTGACGAATGGAAGAGGCAGCCTCGCCATGCTTCACTGCTTCCCTCCTCGGGGCTTCAACCACCCCCAACGTGTCGGGGCTCGGTGCGCGGTCTGACGGGCTATCTGCGCGCAATCTGACACCCATCTGCGCGCAGTCTGGCGGGTCATCTGCGCGCAGTCTGACGGGTCATCTGCGCGCAGTCTGAAGCCCATCTGCGCGCTCAACCAATGCCTCATGTCGCGAGCGAGCGGCCCAAATACCCCTCTTACGCTGGTCCTGCTGCACAAGCTACGCGATATGGGAGGGGGCGGGGGGAGATATCCGGTGCGACTCGCTGTTGTGCTGGAATTCCGATGAGCGTTTATGTCGATCCCCGTCGATATAGCGTGGTCAAAGGAGCGTAAATGCACGCGCTCGCTTGGCCTGTGGTTTTACAACACAGCTGTGTTTTTGTTGTTAAACTGAAACGTAACCTTCTTCACAATAATTGATAATGAGGTACAGTTTTTAGAGGGATTAAGGGAATGATATCCGCACTACTTGTGTGGGCGGTGAGCCTGAATCCAGTCATTGTATGGACACTGCACCACCGTGGCTTTACGACGCACTCAGCCGATGAGGCTTTATGGCGTCGTCAGTCTCGTTCCCTGACAGAAAGGCGGAATGTAATATCAGCGTAAGTGTACTGGAAACCACCCACATGGTGGCTATTGCAGTTGCAGGTTATACAGGCGCAGTATGAAAAGGCGCACACAAAACGTATACACATATGATACGAGCAGTGGTCAAAGAGCTAAAACAGACCTGTCAATGCACTATGGGCCGGATCAGATCAGTTATCAGTGGTTAAAATCGCATCGCGTATGGCGGCCTTAAGCGCGCTCAGTGTTGTGCCATGCCGGACGCACAAAGGCAGCCGGTTACAGGCTGCTCCATCTCGATACCACAACGCCCTATGTGTGACGGTCAGTCGGTGTCTGCGCGGGTGCAGATGACCTTTGTCCGAGATGTGCGTCTCACGACTCGAAACAGCGGCGCTTGGGGCAAAAGGCGTGCGGACCTCTTGAGGTGCGCTGACCTCCTTCAGCGTCTTCGACACTTGAGGCGCGCTGACCTCCTTCAGCGTCTTCGACACTTGAGATGCGCTGACCTCTTTCAGCGTCTTCAACACTTGAGATGCGCTGACCTCTTTCAGCGTCTTCAACACTTGAGATGCGCTGACCTCTTTCACCGTCTTCGACACTTGAGATGCGCTGACCTCCTTCAGCGTCTTCGACACTTGAGGTGCGCTGACCTCCTTCAGCGTCTTCAACACTTTTATCACGGCGTGGTGCGCCTCCATGACCTCGTTCCTTAGCGATCCAAGGGAATTCAGAGCCGGAGTTAGATGATGGTGTTTTTTTGGAGCCGGTAAATACTCTTGCAACAAAGGTGATTACTTTTGAATTTTGTGTGGTTAACTTTTGTTCGCCCCACCCCACACACATAGGCAGTACGTAATATGAGGGAAGGCGTGCGCCTGGATGACGCTTTTGGGAAGATCTGAAATAAAGTAATGACGGAATTTGTACAGAGAAATGATGACGCCATCGTATTTGTTCACGACGCTCGTGATGCGGGCACTCCATGATAGACCGGAGTCAACTATTACGGCGGGGATTTTGATGCTACATGAGGCATGCACATTCAAATTGTTTAGCTTGAGAGGGGTTCAGCTGACCTTGTAAAATTTTGTTTTGACCCAACTAGCGTAAAAACAGTTTTCGTTTCGTTCATTTAGAGGGAATTGACACTGAACCAGTTCTGAAGCTCATGCATGGAAAGTCCCAGTCTGGTTTTGAGGTCTGCGAGACCCGGTCCGTCAGGGTCAGTCCACGTGCTTGGTGTCGTCAGCGTGAGAGATGAGGCGGCTACGAGTCAGATATCCATATAGATCGTTGGTAAACAAAATGAACAAAATTGGACCGATGATCGAGCCCTGGGGTACGCCGCACGACATGGGAAAAGTGAGCCGCCCTCCACGCGCCACCTGTCCTCGAACACCCAAATAGCTTCTAAACCATCCCACATCGGCAACGCCATACCAAGGCAGTTGGTGAGGAGAACGTTGCGGTCGACGATATTGAATGCCTTTGACAAACCGTTCGTCGTTACCGACCTTACAAGACCGTAGTCGGTGTTGGTGGCCAGGCGTTCGACTGCGGCGAGCACGGCATCCTCGGTCGAGTGGCGCGGCCTATAGGCATACGGGGATGGATGCAGCAGCGCTGTCACGTTCAATTATTCCGTTATTCGTGTGCAAGCTACCTTTTCTAAGATCTTAGATAGCACGCTGAGTAGGAATATGAGCCTTTTATTGGACGGTACAACCAGATCACCTGACTTTGGAACTGATGCAACACATGTCTTCCAGCTATCTGGGACAATTTTGGTCACGAGAGCCAGTTTGATGAGTTTTAAAAGATGGGGACCGACGGCTAAAAAACATTCCCCCACAGCCTGGAGTGCGACTTCATCCAGGCCCGTCACCTGCGACGTGCTCATGCGCTGAACACACCGTGACAGCTCTGGTAGCGTCGCAGGTCGGAACGAGAAGCGGCGCAAACGGTGGGCGGTCCGGAGTTCTTGGAACTGGCGTTCACTGCGCTCCGCAGTTTGGCCGCCATGCGGAGCCTCACGGCAGCGAAGTGGCGGTTAAGCTTGTCCGCCGTCGTCTCGGCCTCCTCGGGGCTCACCGCAAACGCGGCCTCGACCGGCGTCGAAGCTGCCATGACAAACCTCTTGAAGGCAGACCGGAGGCCGCGGCAGCCACCATGCGCTATATCACCGTAAAGGAACTCGCGCCTTGCTGCAATAAGGCGGCTCTTAATTTGATTGCGAAGCCGCCGACTCAGGTCTCTGGTGTGCGCAGGCACAGCCAGGTGTCGCGCGCGCTGTCCCGCTCGGATATGAGCTCTGGCACGGCCGGGTCGTCGGTCAAGCAGGGGCAGTGCGGCTTGGAGGCGCGTATTCTAACTGGGCAGTCGAGGCTCATCACGGCGTTCCACACAGTCCTGAAGTGCTGCAGGGACGCGTTGACGTCAATGGCGTCATCCACCTAGCTCCAGTCAGATGACAGAAAATCGAGACATGTGGCACTCCAGTCTGTGCGTTTCTAGCTGCGCAGAATATACCACTGAGGGTTCCTCCGGACACGACTCAGATGTGCGCTCATGACGGCAGGCTGATGCTCGCTGATGACGTCGGGAAAGACGTTGACCTTAGGTGTGGGGTTACGCTGTTGGTGATGATGTGACCCAGTGCTGATGGATTGGATCAAGGTGAGTCGGAACATCCGCCAGCTGCACCATGTTTAGCTCGCTGGTGATGCCGGAATAAAGACGTATGTGGGGCGAGCTGATATCCAACGCGTTAAAGTGCACGTCGCCGGGGAGAAAACGGTCTTCCCAGTGCCGACGGACTCTCGGAGCTGATCAGCCCGGGCACCGTGGCGAACCGAGCCCCGCACTGGCTTCCCAGGCACGCAGCTTAGCCACCACACTGCCGGCACCCGTTGTACGGACGTCACGCTGCGCTGCTTGCTGTACAACACATCGACCGTGAACGGCTTCCCAGCAAAGGGCGGTACCCCGACGAACGTCATCATTTTTGACCATCAGGAAATGAGAAAATAGCCCAGCAGTGACTATCAAACCGACGTCACCTTCCTCCCACCATCTTCATTCCACCACCTACATAGGCACGCCGTCGCCAGCCGAGTGGGTCGTTCGTTACAGCCAGCAAGGCCATTTCGCCAACACAGCCATGTCAATAGACGAAGACCATTCGACGCGGGCTGTTTGGTGGAGGAACAAACAAGTCGCGCGGCGGGTTCACGGGGTTCACGCCTGGCGGCGGTTTGACCTGGTGCCGCCGGGCAACGGCGGCGGCTTGGCGGCCACACGGCCAGCGCCACCGTGTTTGGGGCCATCGCCGGGGTGATCCGCGACCCAGCCGGCCCGGGGCGGCGGCGGGGCCGCGCGCTGTTGGCCAAACACGCCGCGGAACAGCGATGCCAACGGGCCACCAGCCGATTTTGCCTTCAATGGGATTGTGGCTTTACGGCACGTCACGTCCACGTTGTGATAAGAGGCGGGATTACATGAAGGAAATGACCAGTATCTCGTACACGTGTGGCACGACAGGTGTGAGTGATGTGCTTTGTCAGAGCCATGGGCCTGATATGCCTCGTACCTTCTGAACTTTTATGCTTCCCAACCTACTAAGTAGCTGTGAAATTCACCACACGGGGTATGTCATTAGTGATGGTTGCTTCTTCTTCACATTGTTTTGCTTGATGTCTCACGCTCTTTTTCTACAGAAGCGCAGCCGGCAAAATGCTGAAAATGTTTGTGAAAGCGTTTTGAAACCGTTTGGTAAACAACTCATAAATACGGATCTCATTACTGTTTCGACGATATTCTTGCACCGCTATTGATGATATTTCTTTCTGGAAAGAGAAAACGTAAACTGAAGTAATACCGCTCCGTTACATCCTGCCCAGCCATCTGGGATACCTTTTTAAATGGTAGGCTCACAGAGCAAGTAGTCACAAGAGTCTACTTTGGCATTTAAGTTGAACTAATAACATGCGCAGTCCTTTGAAACAGTGTGCCTGCCGATATGAAAAAGGGGCGATACAGCTCAACGAGTGTTTTTTTCAGGTGCATCGTCGGTCTTTCCGAGGTACAAGGCGACCTGAGGTCAAATGAAGTCAAAATGACACCATGGACCGGGCCTTCTGGGAGCAGCGCCTCAAACTTTGGACAGAGCAACGTTCAGTACTAAAGAGGTGAGTCTGGTCGCGGCCACAGACGTAATTCTCCACTGTGTGTCTGTTTCAGCCCACCTTACTCAGGCTGACAGGCGTCATGGCACAAGGCACTAGTCCTTTACATCCCAGCATCGTCACCAGTGGTGACGAAACAGTGCCGTTTCCTCATTTCCGTCCAGAAGCGTGCGTCAGATGCAGGAGACGTCCGGTAGGGTCCTGTTGACCACATCGACGATCGATGCGGCGCAGTTTTGGAGCCCACGGCTATTTGGCTGCCGCTGCCAGGCGGCTGCTCGCGTGAAAGCTCCGATTAGCATACCCTTCCGGTGCCCAACCTCGGACCACGCAGACACGCGCGCAGACATCGACGACGCCGCACCAGCGGCCGTCGCTAGGCAACGTGACGTCATATGACGTGCGTCACTAGGTACGACAGATTACGATGACGAGTTAGCCGAAGGCTGCCGGCGTCCGTATTGAACGTGGCCAGGGGCGTCCCCACGGACACCGCTGTGTCGCTTCTTTCCCGACAGCCCCTCCCCAAAGAGGGCAGACAGACAGCATTTCTCGCCGCCCGTCACGTCGCGACCCTGCCACCGGCGTTCGCCACCTGACCTTGACCGGGCGCCGCCCCTGGCACGTACCCTGCGCTCCGGGGTGTGTACGGCAGCGCGCCCACGCCAGAGGCGACGGCCAGCGGCACCGAGCGGCCGTCTCGCGGCGCACCCACGAGACGCCCCGTCCCGAGACGGCTACCAGCCGTCCCCCGGCTCCCTCATGGGTTCTCCGGGCCCGAGGTCTACCCCCGACCGGTGAGTGCGCTGCCGGTCGCCGCAGACGCGCCGCCAGTCGTCGCAGACGCCCCGTCGCTCGCCGTAGACGCGCCGCCGCTCGGTGCAGACGCCTCCGGTTGCTGCAGACGCTCTGCAGGTCGCCGCAAACGCCTCCGGTCGCACGGTCGATGGCGCTCGCAGGCGGCAGCGACGGCGGCGTCGCCAGCGGCAGCGGCGGTAGCGTCGCCAGCGGCGTCGACGGCGGCGGCAGTGGCGGCCGGAACGGCGTTGACGGCGGCGGCGGCGGCAGTGCCGGCGGCATTGGCCAGGGCCGGGCGCCAAATGTTGGAGAGCTTTTGCCATTCTGAAACGTCGTGTGTCTGGAGTCAGCTAAAAATGCACGCCGAATCGAGCGAGACTACTTCAGATACTTGTCGTCCCTGGCGTCAACCTGAATAGCGTAACTCAAAGCTAAAAATGTGAAAGATGCCATAAATTTGTACTTTGGTGCTTGTTGCCCTGGACTTTCCTTTTTCATTACACATTTTTTTTTCTCTTTTGCTTGAAGAGACCGTTCGCTGAAGGTGTTTTTGAGTTACAAGCATAAAGAGCCGCGGCATGTCCTCATTATTGATAAGCTCCCTCCCCTTTCTTCGTTACCTGCCTGTTCTCCGCGCTGACGCATTTCTGCGAACCTATGGCCTGGTCACGGTATCTTTGAGCCGGCACTTCAAATAGCATAGCAGCATAGCATAGGAAAAACGATACCATTTCCGTTACAGTGCATCTGTGTGATACAGCAAAATGGCCTAAGAAGCCGACGCATTCCATAATGTCAATCTGTATGACAGAAATATTATTGGAATTATAGATTTACGTCGTTTCAGACAACAAGAACTAATAAAACTCACCGGTTTTGGCCATTTTCTATTCGTCCTGCACTCCAACAACAAGTTCGTTTCGTGGTGGGCTGGTGAGGAATAGAACTTAATAATGCATGATCTGCAAGGCTCAACTTTCCGTCAACTTTTCTATTTCGTGTCAAGTTCAGACTTATCTAGTCCCGTCCTGCATTTCAAGCGCACGGTGCCGGGGAGGGGAGGCTAAGCCGGCCCTGGTGCGTTGCTGCAAATGGCGTATTGATCCCGCAAACCTTGGACCAGCTGCTGAGCACGAGTGCAGCGGTGTGGAAGCCGCGGCTGTGGCAGAGCTGAGCCCCAGCACTCAGCTGAGTCAGCACCCGGCGCCTGGATGGTACGACGGAGTGTGCAGTGCACTTCATTGTGCCGGCGGTCATGTAACTGCGTTCATCCAGTCATGTAGTTATTCAAAACAGTACGTCAGTACCTATGTCTCCCGACATCACCGCAGAGCCGTGCGTGCCAGGAACACAGTCTCTCAGAGCAGGTTGCCCGGGCAATGATTTGGTGCCGTTGGGCCAAAGTTAGTTTTTGTTTCTTGAGAAGCGACAGAAACACTTCAAAATCGGCACTCTCCGTATGCAGAGGAAACGAGCAGACATTAAGCGATTAAGCAGTCACCCAGCGATTATTTCTGGGATGGTAATTTGTTCCGAAACTACCGTTCGGAAGCTAATGGAAACCAGGAACATGCTCCCGACACATCGGCCTTATCCAAAGAGCTGGTATCCTTAAACGCTCCACCATCTTGGTTGAGACACGGTATGGTGCCGCACTGCTTTGAACTGTAGCACGTAGCAGGCACGACATTTGACATCAGCATTCATCTAAGCAAGCGCCTCATACAAGGCTGTGTTTTCTTTTCAGTTGGGTAACTCCAGCAACACCTCGAAAAAAACATGAGAGGAGAATAGCTTAAATCCGGTAAAATTTTGGTTGTATGCATTTTGAGGGTAAGTGAAGCAATTTTGTGTGATCATTCTCCTCCCCCAACGAAGATTACGATGCTTCGTCACTGACCTCATAACAAATAACATGCTCAAGAAGTTAATTACGAAGTTCTAGCCCAACGAAAGAGCGGAGCGCACAGTTGCTACCATGCAATATACAAATATTGACGGCGGTTCAGCTCGTTTCCCTAGCAGCACGCAAACCAGACCGCTGCCTTCCACCCGTCAGCCCACGGGCGTCTAGACCTGACTTTGCTCGGTCCAGCATTGATGTTCCCACGTCTTAACTGACAGATCAGCACCAGCCATATTTCAACTGTCGTAACCTGCGGCCGATACGGCCCTGACAGTGGCGCAAAGCACAACCACGTGTTCAACGCATGGCTCGGCAATGACATCATTGTGTTCAAGCGTTTCCTTCCTTCTCAGAATGGGTTATGTTGCGTTTCGTTTAATCCGACTGATTCTATGCCTGGTTTTCTTCAGGTTTGTTAATTGTGGTGTGGACGCTGTTTTAGAATGCACAAACACTGGCATTCTGATAACATTTGACGGCGGATGTGCACCTAAAGCGATTGCATATAGGTGAGTCCGTTATATTTGTTCATTGTTATCTACCAACAGCCCATACCGTGTTCAAAATACATTGATGCATGTCACATTTAAAATCGATGGCTTACACGCTGACAAAAGGCTCACTTCAGAGTGCTGGAAAGCCCGTTCCCATTCGACGCCCACATAGAGACCGCGCCGGCCAGTCGTCATGATGGGTAGCTCCATTCCATCCTGTTTGAATCAAGTCGTTTTAAACCTTTTGATACGTTGGCGTTCCTCGCTGCGGTTGTCTTTGCAGATCGGTATAATTAAAATGTCCTGCAACTGTCCTGCGAACGGCCTAGGGAGCATCAGAAAGCTCACTTCAACCAACAAACTATTCATTACGTATTCTCAGAACTCATGAAACAAAAGTATTTAATCGGAAAGGCAGCTGCTCCTGATCTTTCGTTTGCATGTGTATGTCCGCAAAATTGGGCACGTCCTGGCCCAGTCACGAATGTGCAGTACTAAGATCGATGAAGGCCATCAAAATGTAGTATCTAAATCAGAGTCTGCTTTTGAAAGTTCCTTAATGGTTGTGGTCACATCACCAACGTGGCTGCTCCATTACTTGCGGGCTAGGCCTACTTTTTGATGTCTTGTTTGCGACCGTTGCTAGGGATCAAATGCTGCAAGCTGAAATGGGCGGGGGCCTTTTATGCAATCGTTGTTGTGGAAAATGTATGGGAAGTTGGCAAAACCCTCCTGATTCATATGCGGTATTTTTGTGAGGAGTTATCTCTTCGCAGTGGAATCTTTTTTGAGAAGTGTTTTACCTCAACGCAGGCCATTGGTAAACGATACGGGCTATACCGCCTATTCGTGCCTTCATTATGAAAGCAATTTAGCCCTTAGCGTGACAGCCGGAGAAAAGTTGAAAAAGTCAGTCACGTCAATCAATGTGTCAGCCAATGTGTCAGTCATGTCGTGGCGTGCTCAGGTTGACAAACTGCTTACTGAAGTTCAGATTACCTGCTTATTATGAGAAAATCATAGCTAACGAACTGTGTTGCCAGGCATGACGCCCTTAAGACATCACCGCCTCTGCCACCTTAACATACCAAGACGCATTTGGCACGACAGGCTCCAAAATATCCAACACGTCTTACCCGCCATGTTTCGACATTTTCATGCGCACCGTGTCCTTGATCGTAAATTTACACTTCGCTTGTGCTCTAAACGTAAGAGTCGCGTCTAACGCCAACGTGCTACCCCTCACTGGCTGGGTCATTGGACCAGTGGACCCCCCGTCACGGAACAAGTGACGTGAGCGAATATTTCTTGTCAGTGGGATGGGGTATGAGCACATCGTCAAAATTAGTCGACGTAAATGTTGATCACATCTTACAAAGTGCCTTGTCGGTGTTCTCTGAACGCTATCACGGATATACATGCCAGCAATGTGGAGAGACACCACCCCGTGCCCCTATCAGTAAGGCGTCTGTTATCTCTTTAGACCAACAAATATAGAATCAGGCGTGTGAAAATGTTAAATTGCTTGATTTCTGACCCATCGAGTCTTAAAAGCAACGAAAGATGATTGCTGCGGGCAATTACGAAGACCGGAGACCGATTCCAGAGAAAGGTGCAGTTTAAGGTGCGGAGGGCTTCGAACACGCCGCACCAGATTCATGCATAGCCCAAATTCCAATTATTTACAAATTCCTTGAGCACTTTGTTAAGAATCGCTGCCGGTTTAAATGCCAGCGCCTCGAGCTCACGTGGCCGCTGCGGGTAAACGCGCAAAGAGACCATGACTTCCATCCATCGACAGTAGCGGCCTGTCACCACCTGGAGTTACGGTAAGCGGCCTTTCTTCTGCGATGCCAGCGTCGCACGCCGTTCCGTCCGCTGTAGATCCAGCGGGCCAGCGCTGCTGCCTGACTCACCGGGCGCCGCCCGCTGGCCGGCCGGAGAGCAGGCGGACGGTGGGCCAGCGCTGCTGCCTGGCTCGCCAGGCGCCGTCCGCTGGCCGGCCGGGGAGCAGGCGGACGGTGGGCCAGCGCTGCTGCCTGACTCGCCGGGCGCCGTCCGCTGGCCGGTCGGGGAGCAGGTGGACGGTGGGCCAGCGCTGCTGCCTGACTCTCCGGGCGCCGTCCGCTGGCCGGCCGGGGAGCAGGCGGACGGTGGGCCAGCGCTGCTGCCTGACTCACCGGGCGCCGTCCGCTGGCCGGTCGGAGAGCAGGCGGACGGTGGGCCAGCGCTGCTGCCTGACTCGCCGGGCGCCGTCCGCTGGCCGGCCGGGGAGCAGGCGGACGGTGGGCCAGCGCTGCTGCCTGACTCGCCGGGCGCCGTCCGCTGGCCGGCCGGGGAGCAGGCGGCCAGTGGGCCAGCGCTGCTGCCTTGACCCGCCGGGCGCCGTCCGCTGGCCGACCGGGGGAGGAGGCGGCCAGTGGGCCAGCGCTGCTGCTTGACTCGCCGGGCGCCATCCGCTGGCCGGCCGGGGAGGAGGCGGCCGGCGGCTCGGATGTGCGTGCGCCCGCGGCGTCCGGGCCCGGCGGCGGCCCGGTACCCGGCGCCGCCGGTCGATACCGACTCCGGTGCGGCCGGGGCAGTCGCCTATAGTAACCGCGGCCAAATACTGGTAAACAGTGGCGGAGGGCGGCGGCAGTCGGCGGCCGCGGCTGGAGCGGTCGGCGGTGCGTCCCAGAGGCCCGGCGAGCAGCGCCGCGTCGCGCCCGCGCCGCGCCGTCCGCACCACGCCGACGGCTCGCCCTGCGCGGCGCCGGGGGAGACGCGGCGGGCGGGTGCGCCGCCGCCGGGGACCGCTGGGGCGTGAGGCAGCCGGCTGGGCCGATGAGGCAGGTCGGTGACGCAGGATGGGTCCGTAGATGGAGATTCAGCGCGGCACTGCTCTGCCGGCACTCGGGGGAATGAACCTGCTCTTTGGTCAGAGGTGAGACCCGGGCCCTCCCGCCTACTCCGGCTCCTCTGACGGGGATGGGCTTGTGAGGGTCGGCGCACAGTGCGTGCTTCCTTATCGACAGCCCTGCCCATGTGCTCTTTGGTGTCTTCCGCAGCGATTTCTAGCTAAATGTGCTTAACGTCGTTTAAACTGGTCCCGTGGCGCAGCCCCAGCCGACCTGCTCACGGACACCGCTCCACTGGCATGCACGAACTGCGAGGTTTCACCTCCGACGACAACGTGCTGGTCCTGACATTTTATGGCGGTATCCCCATAGAAAGGGCTGCACGATAACTGCCCGCCGTGAGTGTTGCCTTCACAACTCGAGCAACATTTAACGGTGTAAATTCCCGCTTTAATCGCACCACTTTAGAATGACCATGAAACAAACTTGGGCCGGACACCGGGCGGCGATGTCCCCGCCCCTGGCGCCGCGCCAATCTTCTCGGCCTTGACCTTTGGCGGGCGCGCGGCTCGCGTCGGGACCCGCCGCCGCCGCGACCCGGGCCCACTGCCCCATCGACCGTGCCCTCTTAGAACTGGGCCGGCCGGACCGGACGGCACTGAAGCGAGCCGGCGGCGCGCAGTTCAGCTATCTGCGGCTCCTGGCAGCGCATCCGGCAGCTGTTTGCGGCTCCTTGCGGCCGGACCGTCCTCCGAGCCGAGTTCAGAGCGGCTTCAGACCGCACTCCGTACTCCGGCGGACCGGCCACGCTGCCGAGGCTCTCTGCAGAGGAGGGAGGGCCACTGGAGCTCGGTATACGCCGTTGAGATACCGTTCCGGTGCCGCCGGCACATATCTGAATGCAGCAGCAGGCAGCCAGCAGATGACATTCCTTCTTGCCCTTTGATAACGAATGCGGCTCTGTGGTGCGGTGTTCATCGTTGGGATCTGCTCGGTTTCGTACATTTCCTTTTGTGCGCGTGAGCCAAACGTTTAAGATGCTGCATTCAGCTGTTCATTAAAGTCAGCGTCGTGTTGTCTATCGTGTTCATCTCGTGTGCCCCTGACGTCTCCATTTCATCTGTAAAACTACTGCTGTGTTAATATGGCTGACTCTAGTTACGTCACAGACTGGTCTTCAAGTCGCTGACCGTATATGTTGGGTAGCTTAGGTCGGCGATTGGGTGTGACGTCAGAACTACGATCGTGAATCCCGGCTCACATTGGTTCGTAAGAGGACGTCGCTGATAAATCCGTTGGCCGGTACTTGTGCTGGTAACTGACCCAGCAGTCATTGGCCGCAGTCATTTGATAGCCCGCCACGCGCGTCCAGTCCTCACCTGATCCGCTTTACCTACTCCCTCAGTGCCCCTTGCTGTGACCCAGTGGTGTATGGCCACGTAACCGGTGTCACTCGGTCATACCGGTTCCGCCCTGACCTGACCGGGGCTTCTCTGGCCTGACCAGTGCCTTTCCGACCTGGCCAGTGCCATTTTGAACTAAGTGGGCGTCTCTGACCTGACTGGTTCCACTCTAACTTGACTAATGCCTCTCTGACCTGACAGGCTCCACTCTGATCTGATTGGTGCCACTCTGACCTGGCTGGTGCCCCCTGACCTGGCAGGAGCCTCTCTGACCTGGCAGGCGCCTGTCTGGCCTGGAAGATGCCTCTCTGACCTGACCTGCTGTCCGCAGGCGGCCTCGCGTGTCATCCCACTTCATGGAGAAGTATGAGAAGCTGGGTAAGATCGGCGAGGGTTCGTACGGCGCGGTCTACAAGTGCCGCAACACCGAAACCGGTCAGCTGGTCGCCATCAAAAAGTTCATGGAGTCCGAAGAGGACCCGCTCATACGTAAAATCGCCCTTAGAGAAATTCGCATGCTGAAGGTGAGTGTAGTGCGCGTTTTGAAAGGGGTTTGCGCTATCCTGCTCTACTCCAGAGTAAAGGGCTGCGCGTTGGACCGTTCCTTTGAGTCGCGGGAAGGGTTCTGATGTTTTCCTCTAAGCATCTGTCCGGCTGTGTTCCTGGCAGGTGCAACAGTTTTTAGAGGTGCCTTTGTCGTCCTCCGTATTAAGTGTAGATGATATTAGCCGATGCTTCCTTAAAGTGGAGCTGTGTGCCCGTGTCACCCCGGACGGTCTCTGATACGAGTTTGTCGGCATTTACTACGACGCACTCGTTTTTTTTGGTTTCCCTGTTTTTAATAATATGTCGCCATCGTTCCCCAAGATGCATTTCTCCTCTTTGAATTTCTTAAAGAGCTTTCCAAGATTCCGAATGCAAAGACCGTACAGCAAATGGTGTAGGTAGACCTAAAGTATGGGGGCCTTCGCGCTGGAATGAAATCTGTTCAAACTATTTCAAATGCTGATTTTCTATTACAGCAACTGAAGCATCCAAACCTGGTGAACTTAATAGAAGTTTTTCGAAGGAAAAAGAAGTTACATCTAGTCTTCGAATTTTGTGACCACACCGTGCTTAGTGAGCTTGAGAAGCATCCAAAAGGGTAAGGACGACCGGAGCATGGTGGGTTATTTTCCTCGTTACCTAAATTTTGCTGCAACCAACGCAACCAGTCATTGACGCGGCGTGTACGTCCAGATAAAGGAGCACCAAATATTGCGGAACATTTATGTCACCGGCTTTCCCCCTGTCGCGGCAACTCAGGAGAAGGTAGCCTTTATCTTTCATCAATTATAAAAAGGCTGGTACGCCATGGCTATCTTTCATAGCGTGTGATTGAGAATGTTTCAGATGATAACTTTGAGGTACCTACGTATGCTTTTTAAGTGACGAAGGCTATAGCCAGAAGGCATTTTGCACCTAGCGGTTTCTTTGAATCTAGCTTCCAACCATTATACGTAAGGCTGCGCACTAAGCCAGATTTGGAATATGTTAATCACGTATTATGACATTTTCAACCTGAATTACAAATGGCATTCTTAAAATAACGTTCCTTCTTGCATATTTATGATATGCCTTTTGGATGACCCAATTATCACGTTCTTTGGCCACCTAATCCACCGGACTGATGTTGATACTGACTTGCAGGGACGCCTTCGGTTGTTCTTCGTTGTTTTGTTTCTGTTTAGTAAGATTTTCACAGACATATGAGTATCACCACGCCGGATTGCATAGCTCTGGTGCTTGGAAAGAAGCTGACCGTCCAGGGAGTTCTCAGCGGTTTGCTCTCGCTATGACACATGCAATGTTGCAAAAACCAAAGACCGTTCCCACTATATAACACACAAATTGCTTCACGTACACAAAATTAAGATATTTTTTTAGTAGAAGCACATCGACCTAGTAGTTTCCATCTATAACAAATGTGATGGCTCTGTTTTTGTCGATAATTTGTCATATTAATTGTACCAAAGCACGGGCAATCTTTGTCGTTATATTGCGCACGCTCCACTACAAAACACAAATACCCTTGACCCTGTCTGTCATTCCATGTACCATATTGAGTTTACGCGATGAATGTCGGTGCAATTAAATCTGCCCAGAAATAATTGTGTTTATTTTATTTCTCAGATGTGTCGTAATATGTTTGTCTTATTTATCTGAGGCAATTTTGCGCCATTTCACTAAATGATTGCAGCTTTCTTATTAAACTGAATTGACAGAATCTAACGTATGATAGTATGATTTTTTGTTATCGTTTTAACAGGATGTGCCGTTATATAGACTGCTGGGTACGTAGAATGCGTCATTTTTCTGAAAAAAGTGACGGTGAAGTTAAACGACTCGTACTGCAGTATGAGAAACCAATCTTGCTCACGGACTCGTTTTCTTCAAGTTATGCTGTACGTGTGGGAAACCAGAGGTACGGGGCTCGATTCATCCTTCCTGCCAGGCTAAGAGGCAGGCGACGCCATATAGCCTCAACAGTGGGCTATATGACGTCGCCTGCCTGAGTTCATCATTAAGGCTTGATGGGTGTCTCGTAACGCCCCTATGATAAACAAACAGTTTCGTCGACAGACATTGTAACCTGCCTACGCTCTGACCATAATGATTACCAAGATTTCGGGCTCCACGAGCATTTGGCTGACCTTAAACGTGTCCTGACGTGCTTTCAGCTGAGTGAAACGCACAATGTTACATTATATTTCATGAAGAAAACAGCTACAATCCCTTTCAAATCTAATCTATTGAAATTAAATTGGTTGAAGTGCATGGTCATTTCTGTAAGCACAGTTGCGATATCATTTGATTCGTTGGTACCTCTCGCACTGCTCAAACACAGACCTATGTGGGCGATATTTGTTTCAGTTACATACACCACCCATATTGGTTAACCCGTACTGACCTTAACAATTTCCAAAGAAGTCCATTGATGCGACGAAAGAGAAACCACTGCAGTATTGTGCAGGGAACCCCCACTGATTGGCTCCGCCACTCGGCGGTATCAGCAAAGTAATATCACCCCATGAGCTATCAGCGGAGCCCTGCGTCCACGAACAGTCGATAGCCTCGGAGAAGACCGAAATAATGGCGCTAGCGGCGCCAGACAATGACCTTCATGAGACGGCATTCTCAGAATCTCCATGACATTGAAAAATAAATATTGAACAGTTTCTACATGACGATATCTTTTTTCCTTTTTTGTACTCGAGCTCAAGTCATATTGAAGGCGTTTGTGACAATCTTAAATGCCTGAGGCAGCCCGGCGTTGCAGGTATTGGAGTTGAGTTGAGCAGGAGTCGCATGAAGGTTACGTCTTCAATATTCTGACGCAGCCTGAGAGTATTTGCTTTACCTGCCCTTGGTCGATTGTGCGACATGACTTCTTTATACATTTAATGTCAGTTAGGATCGGTGCTCATGTTCTTGATGATCAATGCGCTTCGTCGAAAATTTATTATAAGACACCGTCACTAATTTTCGGTTAAATTGCACCAGGCTGAATGTCGGTGCCGTGATCTCAAGCATGGGTCAGGATTAGCTCATGGAAGGTCAGCCTACACGAACTGTACCAAAGACGAGATGCCTGGTAAACTCCTTTTTATCTCTACCTTATGAATCGACAATCACTGGACAAATCAACGACTTTGTGATGCAGCGCAACAAGAGTTATCTAGCGTCGCCTGCTTCCTCTGTAGCGAAGCGTTTGGTTCTGCAGAAGCGGTGTTCGAGCTACAGCGCTGATAGCGGGCGCGGCCCCTCAGGCTCATTGATTCGCCGTATCACAGGCTGTATTCACTGGGTGCTGTCTTTTTCGTTCTCTGAGAAGTCATGCGTCTTTTGTTTGTCGCCATTTTGGTCGTTTCATGTCGGGTACCGGTCTTGAGAAGATATCTGAACAGAAAGGGATTTGAGCAGGAGTTTAAATACACTAGCTTCCTCGAATGACCTGTTTTGACCAGCAAAAGTCTGCCGACTCGGTTGTTCATTGGCCCCTATATTGCCTGTAGCTTCGCCGGTAGAGATACGGTGCCTCTTTCTGTTGGACTTTGGCATGGTTATTTTTTAAAGACGGCAGGTAATTCTGGGGCTCACTCGACCAACACAGGCGAGGAAACGACTCACCCGTTGAGACCTGGATCTGTATACCTTAGTGCCAGAACATTGGTTTTATGTTAGAGACATCGTGCATGGCGAAGGATTCTCTGGTGGTACCAGTCAACATGACTGGCTCGGCAACGAAATGAATCCAGTTGTTGAAGCACATTTCATGCATCCCCAGGATTAGTGGCAGCTATTGATTCTGCCCTTGTCTTTTTTACACGTTAGCAGCGTTTACCTAACCGCCTACTGGTACCGCACAATGATGGCACTAACCTTAATTCATGGCTCTCAGTGTTCATTGGCCTGCGACCTGGTCTGTCTTACCTATGTCTTATTCTTTACGTGACCAACCTCCTCTCACGGTCGCCACAGCGTGCCGGAGGAGCTGACGAAGCGGATCACGTGGCAGATGCTGCAGGCCATCAGCTATTGCCACGCCAACAACTGCATCCATCGAGACGTCAAGCCTGAGAACCTGCTACTCACCAAGAACCAGGTCCTCAAGCTCTGCGACTTCGGCTTCGCCCGCAACATGAGTACGCATGTCTGAAGAGGTTTTGCTTGTCGTTTTACATGAATGCGCTGGCAAGGCCTGCCATCGTGTGCTTGTTCGTGTTGTTGAACTGGTAAGACACTGATCGTATCGATTCACGCCTTAGTGCTTTTTTATATGCCACACGGATTTGTGTTTTATTACAAAGGAAACATCGAGGACCTTTACGTTTCAACGTTCATGGCGGAAATATGGCATGCATAAACGGGTGAATGTATGTGAAAACACATTCAGTGAGTCCCGACCAGGACCAGGGTATATCGTGAACCCGTATACGGGTACGGGTATCAAAAGAAGTGAGGAATCGGCTGCTCTCCCCTTTTGGGATTCGGTGAGTAGGAGCAGGTGTGGGAAATGGGTCATGCATGGTCATTGATATGAAATGAAATTTGTTTCTTTTTTCTTTATAGCATGAGCAACTATGAGCTGGGAGCACTCGCTGAGCGCAGCTTGTTGCGTGTGACCTGAAGTCATCACCCACTGTGTGCCGACCCGGTTCAACAGTCACCTTTGGCCTTGTTGGCAGACAGCGCTGTGAACGGTTTCACGTCCTAAACGTCCCTGCGTCACATCAGGACGGGCCTAGGTCACTCTCTTTGGCCAGTTGCCAGCTGATCTGTCCATGTCCCTTGCGCTGAACACTGTACAGCTCTGGGACTCTGACACAGTGTTACTGAGCTACCAGTCCAGTACCTCTTCCCTAGGTCATGGATGCGGCAAGGATGTGGCTGAAAGTTTACCCGTTGTGTGGCTTTGGCAAGCACCTGTATTCGTTTCGTCGCGGCAACCGCGCATTTCCTAGAAAGCCCTAAGAAACCACCCACAGCATAGTCGGTGTTGCTCTCTCACCAAAGCTGTGACCTTTCATTAGCACTGAGCTCATGACCTGCAACCCACGATGACCTCTTCAGCTCGAAGACCCCCGCGAGCTGCTGCCCTTCCATCGGCTGACCGGTGCCAGCCGTGACCTGCAGGCCCCGGAGAGCCATACACGGATTACGTGGCCACGCGCTGGTACCGGGCGCCCGAACTGCTCGTGGGAGACACGCAGTACGGGCCGCCCGTCGACGTCTGGGCCGTGGGCTGCGTGTTCGCCGAGCTCGTCAAGGGCGACGCCCTCTGGCCGGGCAAATCGGACGTTGATCAGCTCTACCTCATCCGAAAAACGCTAGGTGAGGGGGCGTGGGCGGCCTCCGGCGCTAGATGGGGGGGGGGGGGGTGCGGGGCGGCCTCCGGCGCTAGATGGGGGGGGGGAGGTGCGGGGCGGCCTCCGGCGCTAGATGGGGGGGGGGGGGGGGGTGCGGGGCGGCCTCCGGCGCTAGATGAGGGGGTGCGGGGCGGCCTCCGGCGCGGCCCAGGTGAGGGCGTGGAGCGACCTCATGAGAGCGTGGGGCGGCCTCCGGCGCGGCCTAGGTGAGGGCGTGGGGCGACCTCCGGCGTGGCCTAGGTGAGGGCTTGGGGCGACCTCCGGCGTGGCCTAGGTGAGGGCGTGGAGCGGCCTCCGGCGCGGGCTAGGTGAGGGCGTGGGGCGACCTCCGGCAAGGCCCGTCATGACCAAGGGTTACGTTGACAGACCTTGCGTACAGGTTTGGTATGAGAAGCTGTGACTTGTTCAGGTGCACACGTGGCGTTCCCTTGTTGCGCATCCGCCACATGCTACAACGGGGGTGGAGGCATTGCAGCATGAGCTGCTTAAGTCAACGAAGCTCGTTTTTCATTTTCGAGGAATCAGTTGATGGTTTCTGATTACCCTGCACACGTCGTCTTCAACCGCGAGCGTCGAGAAACCTGGTTGACACAAGAAGGCCGCCGTTTCAGGCGACCTGACGTCACGGCACATGCAGGTGTTCAAGTCCAACGAGTTCTTCTGCGGGGTGGCGCTGCCAGAGCCGCAGGAGCAGCAGAGTCTGGAGCAGAAGATGGGCAAGACCCTGAACAACACCGGCATGGACTTCCTCAAGGTGCGCCAGTGGCACCGCTACGTCGCGTCCACAGACAGTCCTGTGACCTTGACGGCGTGACCGACTTCTGCGTGCGGCACGACTCTCGGGTCTGCCGCACTTCGCATCGAAACCGGACTCACTACTTTTGGACGTTGAAGCCAAGGCAAAGCTATGGCTGCAGCTATGGTTGCAACACGATTTGGGCGTTGGTGTGCTATTTTAAGGAATTGGGCTGACGAAAGGCATTTGGATTTTGATGTGCTAGCAAGAAACAAGAGTTTCTTTATTTCTAAGCGTTTGTTTCGCACAATTCAAAACACCTGAAAATTTGCCCCCGTCAGCGCGGGCTCATCGAACTCATCGGCACCGTGCAAAACTCTTTGCAATCAAATTGCAATGATTGATGGTGAATTAAATTTTGGTATGCACGAAGAGTGCCTGGATAGTTGTTGATAGCCTCGGCCAGCCGTGCCTCAGCCAACGCCGAAAACAACGTCTACTCCATATGCTATATTGCCCAACTAAATGGTGTCGAGCATTCTGGAGCGAATGCATGGAGAGTATTTGTGTACGAACTTTTCAGCTTAATGAAAAGTCGATGAAATGGTGTGGAGGGACGTCACGCCGCCACCCAATGGCACACCTGCGCCGATGGGGCACACCTACGCCAATGGGGCACACCTACGCCAATGGGGCACACCTACGCCAATGGGGTCCACTCTAGACGCCGTATCGTAAAGGAGGACGACGTTATTAGTTTTCACTTGCCAGTGGGCCCCTGCATACCATCGACCGCTGCTGCACAAAGCATTGTGGTGTGGACAGCGTGTCGTCCTAATGAGCACGCATTGGTTCTCTATCGCGATGCAGTTTTGGACCAGAATATTTGGGGCTGCACGGAAAGGCGGGGCGGTGGCTGACCGGTGTGTCATGACGTACACTCTCGAACATTGCGATCTCTCGTCCATTGCTCACTTGATCAAACAAATTTTGTTGCACTGACAACGGGCTAAGGGTAGAGGATGCGATGATGTGGAAATATTCCTACAAGGCTGAACGTTTTCCCCTTGGTTTTCCTTTAAAACGCATCTGTGTATGCTTGCAGGATTCAAATGATACGTAAAACATGGTTCTGAGTGGAGGTGTGAGGAGAGGTATGCACCGTCACGAAAACTTTAGTTAGAGACGCCACAGGTAACCAGTTGTACGGGGAGCTGCGATGTTTTTACATTGAAGAGATGGCTGAATAACACGACTAGTGTGCTCGTGGCTTTGCGTCTCCACGTTGAACTTTCCGCGCTTTCCGTGCTTGATACGCACTTCAGGAGGAGAATATGAGAAAGCTTTTGTGTGCACACGAATCAATGGCATACGTTTGTCTTAGAATATCCGTCTTAAGTGACCTTCCAAAGGCAAATTTGTACATCACCATTTTATGTGTTAGTGTGATGCCTTGAAATCAAAGTAGGCAAGTCTTGTCATTCAGTATAAATTTAGGTAAATTACGCCAAATGAAAATAGAACACCTATGGGGACACTCATCAAAGCGAGTGTGAGAACAATCCCGAAAAATCGAATGATGACTGAGATTCAATAAGGAAATTGGATCTACCCAAGAAAGCTTTCGCTCTGCGATTTCTAGGTCTAGGACAAAAAGGATTTAAAAAGCAGACTTTCAACCCCAAGAAATGAAAAGCCGTACATTTCTTGCTTTGCTGACTGCACCACAACGATAAAGCTCAGCATACTACCGTAAGGTTCAGAGGATACCTCTGTAGTATGTTGCGCAGTCGTGCCAAAATTTTCAGGACCACTTGTTATTAGTTAGAATTTTCTAATGGTTCTGTATTTGTATATATTGTACACATTCATATCTGTTTTCTTATAATCAGTATTTCTTTTATCATTTTAGTATTATTCAAGTAGAAAACGTGTTCCTAGCGTTTGTGGTTTCGGAACAGCGGCGGTTTTTGAGAAACATTGCACGGCGATCCACGGCCGGTGCGTCATGAAAAGTCCGCGTTATTAGTCATAAGTTCGCGCGTCAACAGGGTGGGTCGTGAAAACGGCAAATCATGGTGACGGTTAAGGGCAAAACTTCGGGAAAATGTCGCAGCGCACATGGTGAACAGCTGGCGAAAAAATCTTACGCATTTGGCGAATACGCCACAGCCTTCCACGTGTACAATATCCACAAGTTATTTGATCGCGGACATTCTGTTTCCAAGCCAATGCAAGTATTCTTATTGGTCATTTGCGTGGCCACCTTCATCCGCATTGATACTGAAGGAGATACTGCTAAAAATGGTTAAGACGCGGACTTTAACAGGATAGGCTACCAAAAAGTTGTCCTTTTTGGAAAGTAAAAGTTACAGCCAAGAATCTCCCAGAGCGGGAGACAGGACTTTGTTCGACCTAAAACTTGCTACTTCAGCTCCTGATGCTGTACCTTTACTGTCGAAAGCGCTGCCGTACTGACGATACTAATGAAGCAGAGATTTAACACCGGCCTTGTGTAGGATCCCTGATAATGCCATAAGTTTCCATACATATTGTAAGCATAAGAAGCCAACAGCTACCGAGAAAGATGCTGCACGTGCATGCCACATGCTCCAGAAAATATTGGCCCTATTTCTGGGTAGGTTCCAAATAAACTTCTGTATATGTACCATATTCTACTTTTTTGAAGTCAGAACACTATGTCGTGCTGAGAGTCCCTTCGGTGCGTTGAGCGCTACACAGGCCAGACCGGCCGTTGCTCACCAGCTGATCGACGTTTACACTCGGTTGTCATGGCGACACCGGTGATGGTGGTGGCGACGGTGGCTGTCACAGTGACGTCACCAGTGCAGCCGACGCCGTCACGGGCCCGCAATTTAGCAGCCCTGTTTACCGAATCGTCTTCGCTACGCGGCGATCGATGCGCTGGCCGCGCCAAGGTCGGCGCCTCACGCGTGCACGCGAGGCCGCCGCTTCCATCCACGGCCGCCAGAGGCTCGTGCTTAAGGAGAAGTTCGCATGAGTGAGGCCTTCGCTGGGCCAGAGTGGTTCATTGCACGAAACCCAATCAGCCCTGAACAACTCAGGTTTTCAAGGCTACGTGGAGGTTTTCATGTTTTGGTCCATCGATATAAGTGATTTTCACCTTCGCTTGCGCCATAGGAGACCATATTTGTTTCACCTGCGAGAGTTTTGTCGGACTCAGAAACACGGCTGACCGGGGTGCCTCCTTCAAAATGATGTCCCGCAATCCATGTCGTTTGAAATTTGAAAATACTTTTGAAAACGAAAATACTTTAATTTGAAAATGCTTGGGGGCAAGGTTTTCCAGAAGGCCCCCTGGACGCCATGGGGCTTCTCAAAGGAAGAGGGGGGGGGGAGGGGGGCTCCTGCACCGTGTCGTATGTAAGGGGCAAGGGGGATTCGAGTGCACGTGCGTTGTTCCTATGAAACTTTGGCATGCATCATATTCATGCAAATGCATGCCAGCAATTTAAAAAAAATCTAGAATGGACGCAAAGTGTCTCCCTATCACAAAACAGATCCTACTATTCTAGAAGAGAGCCTCCTGATGCTTAGGGCAGCCTGCTAATCCAGATCAGGATCCTGCCCATTGACGAGGGGGGGGGGGTTCCAAATTTAGCTAACGTTCTCGCTATTACAAAGCAGGGCATCCTGATCTAGGAGCGCGGTGATCTCATACATGAAATGGGGGGGGGGGGGGGGGGGTGCCTCTTAAGGGTGCCTTTTAACCCAGAACAGTGGCCTCCTAGTTCATAGCAAGGGCCTCTCGGGGCAGCAAAGGACTTCCTTAGCAGAAAATTGGGCCTCCAGATCTAGAGCATGGATTACCTTGTTCATAAAGGCGGTCTCATGATGCAGAAATGGGCGTCCTGATGCAGAAAAGCGAAAAAGGATCTTCCGAGTCTGATTTTTTGTTCTGTGGCTCAGTTATGGGACCTCTTTGATCCAAGTTTTGTTAACATACGGGTAGCTACGAAACATGTAGCTCGAGAAAAAGGGCTTCCGACAAATATGAGGAGGTAAAAACAAACCCTTGCACGCTCTGCCTGCCGGTAGGCAGGGAGGGGGGGGGGGGGCAACTGCACCCTCTGGCCCCCGCCCCTGCTGCACCTGGTTGTCGCTGCCGTATGGACTGTGGAACATGTTGAGGGCCGGTTGAAAAATACATGTTTTCTCCAATACGCCCAGGTAACAGCTGAAGTACGCTTGCATGTGTTCATAGCTTCTATTTCTCTATAGCTCAAAAAGGCTTAAACGCGTTTAAAAGGCCCGCATTCATGTTCAACATGTTCCACAACCCATTGTGCTTAAATGTCTTCGGCATTTTTCTAATATTATGTGAAAATAGATCCCAACGCATTAATGATACGTTAGATTTTGGAGGGTCTGGGCCTAAGAGAGATTATGGGTTGGTTTCGCATGCCGAAAGTCGCAACTTACACTATTTGTTCACTTGTCATCATGCCTTTTGCTTAAAGGTTTCTCTTTACGCTACAATGATGGTGCAAGTTTTTGGCCTGACCGCTGAGTCAGTGCGCGGGTTACCACCCGGCGATGCTTGCATTATTGCGACGCTTCAGTCCATAGCGTTACAGTGGAATACAAAACTCTGAAGTGGTAATATTTTCTGTGATCGCTATTCGTTGGAATTCAGAAAAGTTCTTGGAATTATAATCGTTTGGTGGCTCTAGTAAAGATCCGATAAGCAAGCTTTTCGGTGGAAACGATATCTGTCAACCGATTTACTAACCGTGCTTACTTGATCTCAGAATGGCATGGCTGAGCGCGTTTTGCACAGCGGAAAACCCACTCCGCCAAATACATACAGACACACATATCGGCTGCGCTCGGTGACCGCGGCCATGTAGCTCCTCCCCCACCTGTCTGCCGTGCTCGGTGGCCGCGGCGATGTAGCCCCTCCTTCACCTGTCTGCCGTGCTCAGTGGCCATGGTCGTCGGCACCGGCTGCCGTGCATATAGTAACGGTATCGACCTGAGGCGCTGGGTGCCCTCAGCGACCCAGCAACGGCCGCGGCGCGACACCGATCGTCCGCGGCGGGCCTGACACATAACGGCGGGGAGGGGGCGCGGCTTCCACAAGCCCCGGTATCATTCAGCATTGGCCTATAGTGGCACACAGAAAGAGACGAGGCAGCAGTCGCCTTTGCCCCCCCCCCCCACCCCCGCTCTCCCCCAGGGATTCCACTGACAATGTTAAAACACGCTCAGAGTGGTCCCCTACCGGCTTCCGGAGCGGATGGTGCAGCGCGGCACAGGTCTGTGCTCTGACCAGCGGCAGACGAGAGGTCAGACTGCTCACCGTATTGTGTACACGGTTAATACATTGTATCTTCATGGAGAACATCCGTCTTATCACGACTTATGGACGTGGAGGGATCAGGGGCTGGCCGTCGTAAAAAACAATGGAAGCTGAAACCCATACTTGGAATGGAGAAGACCAGGATTTCTCCCGAGTCCCCTCTCCAAAGCTTTTAGGCATGTTGCATTTGGGCTCCTAACCTCTGCCTATGGAAGTCAAATGTAGGAGAAACTAAACGTTAAAATGGCGTTAAAAACTGCGTTAGCGACCACTTTAATGAACACCTCGGAGACGAACGTTTAGGGGGAGCGCACAGACCTCTGAATGAACGGTTGGTAGCGTGGGATGCTGCAATGGATCACGGTGCTATACAAGACCGGCTTTCAAGAATAAATTTTAGCGACAGTATAAGACAACACGGATCTCAGAATAAGATACTTGCAGAATATTTTAATGGATATCAGCGCTCAACTTGGGAAAGCTTCGGGTACCCATGGCCGCGTGATGTTCAGCGTTCCGAATGAGGTCCTGCACTTTTACTCGCTCATCATCACGCGTCTTACAAAGCGTTACAAAGCGTTTTACAGGGTTTCAGTATTACAAAATTGTGAGCCTCTTTTAAGGCTGTGAAGGGTAAGTTCCCCACGTTTTAAAAACAGTGGGAGACACGTCCCCCACATCTCCTACCACATCGCCACCCGAGCATCGAATGGAAACGATAACGGTTAAAGTTCTACTTCTAATCACAGCTTTTCGTTACCATCGATAGGTGGCCTAATGCGCTCCTAGGTGGCAGTCAGCTGTGGGTCCTCTGATCCAGCCCGTCCCCCTCCTATGGACTGGACTTTGTATCTCATGAGGGATCATGTCCCATCCATTCGCCCCTAATGTTGAGCCAGGCCACCAATAACATGCTGACCCCTATACTGTTGTGATATTGGAGGTCTGGTTCAACATTAAAGGCGGGTGGAGGGAAGGGACATGATCGATCAAAGACATACAAAATTCAGTCCAGAGGAGGGGAGCGGCTGGATCAGCTGACCCACAGCTGACTGCCACCTAGGGGCACATTAAGCCACCTATCGGTGGTAACGAAAAGCTTTGGTTATAAGCAAAACCTTACGCGTTTTCGTCTCCATTCGATGTTTGAGTGGCGACGCCACGGGAGACATGGGCGACGCGTCTCCCACAGCTTTCAAAACATAGGGAATTCACTCTCCACAATCTTAAAAGAGGCCCACAATTTTTCAACAATGAAACACTGTAAGGCACTTTGTAACACTTAGTAAGGCTCGTGATGGTGAGCGAGTAAAAGTGCAGGACCTCATTCAGAACGCTGAGCTACATCACGCGGCCATGTGTACCCGAAGTTTTCCCAAAATGAGCGCTCATGGCCACTACAATACTCCGAAATTGTATGATTCTGGAATCCGTGTTTTTTTGCTGTTGCTATATATCTATTTTTTATAAGCTGGTATTGTATAGAATCATGATCTATTGCCGTGGCTCAAGCTACCACGTGTTCACTCAGAGGTTTGTACGCTCTGAGTAAACGTTCGTCTCCAAGGCTTTCGTTTAACTGGTCACTAACGCCACATCTAGTTTCTCCTACACGCAACATTCGTGGGCAGAAGTTTCAAGGCAATACGTTTGCTACGTCCTGCGCATATTTCGCTTTCATCCGATTGACACCTGTGTAGCAGATCAATCCGACTCCCAGCTGGACACGACACGGGAAGCCGAGGACTGTGCGAATTAGCATAACTTTAAAATAGGACTATCAGTTCACGCCATCTTGAGGCCGTGTGGATCACTCGATGCTACTTTGGCATTCACCGTTTTGCGCAGCTTGACATCTTTAAGCGAGAGTTTAAGTAAGACGCAGTTTGTCCCTGTCACTTTTCTTTGACAGCCCGAGTCTTCGCCACAGCTATGCTTAGCAAGGACTCAGATCCCAAACCTATCCCTGCAAACAGGGGCATCGACAGGATGATTCAGAGGTGGTCCAGACTTGCGTGCGACCCTACTCTGGACTGCGTACAGAACGAATCATGCATGGGAGGACCTAGGAAAGTGAATTCGGTTTGTTAGAGGATCAGTGCTTATTGAAACTGCAAGTGAGCGGATTGCTCACGTTGCATTGCGAATTTTTATGTCTTGTCACCGCCCTTGACCCTATATTTTCCCTTCGCTGCTTGTGAGAGGGTAATTACCGAATGTCCAAAACTTGAACTTGCGTCACACTATTCTGTTTCAATTGCTGCCCTCGTTCTCTTTTGCCGATGACTCGAATTGGGTCGAAACTCTTACCATGTTTTGCATTGGCGTGCGCACGGATGTTGTGGTAGGCTGCTTCGATTACCTGAACTGACATTACGGCAGTGCGTTATACTTTAGCTTTAACACGCATTCATCCGAAGACAAAAAAGTAAAAATTGCAGCAGTTCCCCGGCTTGGTGTTTACTGGGACTGAAAACCTCTCGCGCGAGTCACTATTTGTTCATCTCCGTGCTTCTTTCTGTGGGTCATTGACATCATATCGCACCGCAAAACGATGACTGGTTGTGTTCCCACCGACAGAAATGTCTGGAAAAGGACCCGGCGAAGAGGCTCACGTGCCAACAGCTCCTCCAGCACCCGTACTTTGATGGGTTCAACTTCAAGTTGCCGCAAGCAGAAATCGAGGAGTTCGAAAGGATGAAACGAGTGAGTTCAGTAAGTCAGCTACAGATTCTTTAAAAGTCAGGCCTTTCGCCACGTCCGTAACCTATTCACCCATATATTCATAGGGCATGCTTGACTTACATCAATATGTCGGCGCCTGTGACTGCACGCATGTACCGAAGTTTTTTTGGGTTGAACATTTATTATTACGTCTCTTCTATTTTTTCACCAATAGATTCCAACACTTGACATAATGATACATGTTCTTTAGACGCTGACCTTTACCGATGTTCAAACGGTAATTTGAGTGGCATTGTAAATGTATGACTCTTGCAAACAAATGGCTGATGTATCCACTGGTAACTGGAAAAGCTACAACCAATCAAACATCTACATGCCCCACAACAAACCGTCCGCAGATATCTCCACTCGCACGTGGAGACCGACGCAAGCGTGACGTCGTTGCGACACCCACCGATGCGAACATGACGTCGTTACAACACCCAACATTTGTGTCACCATATACAGAGCAGCATGCTTACCACAACTGTGAGCACATTTAGTACACCGGCTATGAGCACAAACAGCTTTAGAAGAGCTCATTGTCAATACAATAAGGCGGACACGAAATGCAGCGGTATGGTGCAATGACAGTTAATCAGGAGACATGATCAGAGAGCAACGCATTTTCGCTGGTATGAATATCTTGTCTCACATAGCTTGCGATTGACTTTAGATAAGCATCGGGCTCTCATTGGAGAGGAATGTGCCAAGTTACTTTCCATCTTCTGGAATTTCCAGGACAAATGAAAGCCCAGTGCCTTCCAGCTCCTTTTTCATCCACGCCTCCATCTTTTTGTCCATCTCCGGCGTGAAGTGGTTCTTCCAGTCTCCAGTTTGCCCCTTCCTCATGAACCTCTTGTTCGGGTCGCCGCTGGACCAGACAGACTTCGACAGCCACTCCCAGTTCACCCAGGGGTTATTCTTTAGGTTTCTAAAGTGCAGATGGTCCTCCAACTTGTCTAGATTTTCATCAGTTAGGTTCTTGCCAAGGAAGTTGGCCACTTTCACGATGTTTCCGCGGAGATCCTTCTTAAGATCCTCAAAAAAGAGGAAGAGCATGTTCGGATGATCGCGCTGCCGCCAGGCCTCTAGGACGTGTGGGAAGTAGGGTAGCTGTGAGACATTGCCTTCAATGAAGAGATCGACAAATTTCTCGAGGGTGAGGTCCTTGGACGCCTCGTTATACAGACTTAGGTGATAGAAGTACGAGATGCAGACATCCTTCGGGTTGCGAGCTACGTACACCACCTGGAATAGAACATACGCGCAGCTGTTACCAAAAGCAGAATGACGATTTGCGTATAAGCACATCTGGATCGAAGCATGGAAGGAATGCGCAACTATGCACATGTGGTGTCATGGCTCCTGTCTGTCTGTGGAGTCCGCAGCAGGTCATAAAGTAAGTTACAGTCCATAAGCAATTAGTATAGATCGGGTGCATGAACCATCGCTCAAGACACAGCATAACGACACGTGGCCCATTGACGACGCCATATCCGATGCATCATACCAAGCGCCACGCCCTCCGCCCATCCGAGCCACCCCGGTGGTCGGTAAGCCTCGTCCCCGTACCTTGCACGTGTCGAGCAGTTTGGGCGGACACATATGCAGCGGTAGGTGAGTCTTGACAAACCAGGGCCGCGGCCGCGATGTGATCGGCTCGAAGAAGATCCGTTTCGAGTTGGGGTCGTTTTCCTTGCTGATGTTCTCGCGCACCCGCTTGTCCGTCACTCCCGTGATCTCGAGGAAGTGCCAGCGGTCGGGTAGCAGCAGGGTTTTGGCGCCTTCGAAGTCGCAGTCGTTTTGCAGCAGCCACACCAGCTCCTGTGTCCACGTGGTCCCTGGCGAGTGTACGGTTCGGAGGTCAATTGCCCCCAACGACGAGGCGTGACTGAGGATTTGGACGATATCAGCTGGTAAGTTAGTTGCGTCGTGCGTGACACCTTTGATCTGCTTCGGGAAATGCCGTTGCGTGTTGTAGTTTACAAGAAGCAGCTCTCACAAGGTGGAAAAAGAATTTACGCCTGAATGACAAAATATGAAGCAAGCGATCAATGAGGCATGCTGAAGAAGCGATCCGTTTTTGACCAAGATTGGTGAAATGTGACTGGAAAGCGACAAAAGGTCCTTTAAGGAAATATTTCCGTTGACGGATGTGGAACAGGTTAATTCAGCCCTGCTGTTCATGTTTTCCTGTCTGCTGTGCACAGTCCACTGTTCTGATCTCAGTTTATTCAGACATGCAAAAGGGTATCCTGTTGCGGGAGTGAGCTCACCGTGGCAGCAAAACTAATAAGCAGCACAGCCATAGACTGCTCACTTACCGTTTATGTAACCGACAGATAAACATACAGAGGCACCGAAGGTCGGGCCTGTCCAAACATCTGGGACGGCTCTGAGTCGAGGCGAAACCTCGCACAGGCTGCGGGCGGGTGCCGCCTCTCACCGCATTTGGGCAGCGTCACCACCCAGGTATCTCCGGGGTGCAGCGGCGTGTTGTAGTACTCCTCGAAGAAGGACTTCGAGTCTGGTACGGCCAGGTAGCGCGACGGTCCGAAGTAGGCCATGCCGTCCTTGTAGTCCGGGAAGGCGGCCATCACGCGCTTCAGGGTCTCCGGATCGAGAGACTCCGGGTCCCAGGGGAACGGCAACGGTGACGACATCTCTGCGGACCGGGGCCCATGGACGTCATCGGGTGATGCGCAGCACTGGAAACGTCATTCGTGGGGACGTGGCCAAGGGGCTCTGCTCGTGGCGTGGGGGTCCCAGGGGACCGGTAGTGGCGACGACCACTCGTGGACGGGGGCAGAGCCGCTGTGAATGCTCTGAGATGCGAGGTGCGACAGCTCGGGCTGTGGACGGGGGCAGAGTCGCTGTGAATGCTCTGGGATGCGAGGTACGACAGCTCGGGACGTAACGGCTCAGCTGGGGGCGACATGCGTCTCCACTAGACAAGTCTGGATTCGACTATCATCTCTGGGTGGTCGTGGATGATGCGCGCCAGCAAGGCCAAAAAAGTGTCATTCTCTTGAAAAGAAACCTATCTACGGATGGGAGAAAAGGGACGTTAGGGGTGTGGGGCCTTAGAAGAAAGACAGTGAAACTGGAGCCTCCATAGCTCGAAAGGCATGGTCATGGCAAGGTAAAGATTGGATCGCCGTAAAAAATAATGAACCAAATAGGGGCATACTGTTGCCACACCACCGTACATGTGAAACAGTCTTCACGGTCTGGGGGTCGTCGGGCTAATTGCGGGTTTGTACGGTATACTTGCTGACCATTGCACGAGTACGTTTGTCCCGTGGTGGCGCCATCTTTTTGGCAGGGCTGATCGTTTTACTGTTCCTATCAAACGGCCAGAGATAAGCAAGCAAATAAAAGTGGAACAGTAATATTCCAGCCTCGAAGGATGTCATGACAGGTAAACGGTTAAAACGAATGGTGGCACCTTTTTTAAACATAAGTTTCCAAGCATAATTTTGCCTTGTTAGTATAGTTTCAGTGAAGTCGTGAAATCCCTAACGCCATTTTTAGGAAGAACCAGCCCCTGACTGCAGCAACGATGGGTTATAGGATATGAATACAATTATTATTTCCTCTGCCATCATATTACGCCAAGTCATACAGTCAAGCAAGATCAGATGACGGCACGTCAAAAGCTATCTTGATTTGAAACGGTTTTTGTTCTTAATGAGATTAAGCCGAATTCCTTATGGACTACATTCCGACTGTTTTGCTCGCGGTAGGTGCAAGCCCCCACAGGCAGCACGTGGCCTGCACGGAGGAATGCATGGCCTAAATTGCAATGCAATAATTTTCATCAGCGTTAAGTTATCAATTTAAGAGCGTACGTCTGTCTATCTGCCTGTTTATCTGTCCGTCCGTACTTTTTTACCCAGATGCACAGCACAGACGGGGGCATGCATTACCGTGAAATTAGTGCATAGGACGGGTTCAGCCGCTGTGGCGATGCACGGCAACTATCCAGTCCTGACCGATAACGGTGTCGGTCACATCGCGCGCGAGGGAACAATATTTTTTGAAAAATGTAATGTCGAGGTTGACATAAATCATTGTTTGCCGGGTGGAGGAGGACAGACTTGCGAACGTTTTTCCTTGGAGAGTATTTGCCAGTGTTCCCGCCCTCCCCCCTTCTTGGAGCTACCTCTGGAAATTTCGGTTTAGAAGGCAAATGAAAATATCTGTGCCCCATGTGCCAATAAGAGTGTCTGTGCTCCATCTGGAGTGCCAAACTCGCTGCTTGACCACGAGCCGGAGACAGACCCGTTATCTCTGCGCATAGGTCCTTGACGCGCCGATAATCAATCGTTACCCCCAAACCAAACAACTCGAAGTGTTAGCCACTCTCGACCGCGCTCCTGGCAACTGAACGCGGGGCGGCGGTGGCATCCTCAAGACTGGCGGCCTCGGCGGCGCCGTGTGACGTTTTGTGAGCGTCCCGAAGCCGTATTTGTCGGACGGGACGGCTCGTCAACGGCTAATCGCGTTTGATTGTCACATCCGCGCCCCGGAGGCCGGACGGGCGGCGGTGACCCGCGGTCAGTGGCGGCGCCAGGGACCGGGGTCGGAGGTTCGGCTGGACGGGTCTGTGACCGGAGCGCGGTCACAGCTGAGAACGAGTCAGGTCAGAGCTGGGGGCCCGTCCCGCGAGGCGCGAGGCTTGAAGAAATCAGTTGGGTCGACGCTCTCTCACCAAGAGCGCTTCCCATCCCTTTTGTGCCTTGGTGCCTGGCGGCTCATGTCCCCTGGTGACACTCCTCCTCTCAATCCGGCGGTGTACATCGGGTAGCTAGGACGGTAGATGACAAATGACTTATTGGTTGCATCGGTGAACGTTCGGTTGACGGTTGAAAAAGGTTTTAAGTGGTGGCTGCGAAAGGTGTCCTGACAGGATGGGCGTGACGTACCCAATTAGTGTGGGCCGAAGGAAGGGGGATGGTGGACATATCCCATCCACTTAGTTTGACATCGATAGGCCTTATGCATGAGACGTTGTTTTAGGCGCTACTGCTGCTGGCTCTCTCCTGGGTGATGTGACGAAGCGTTCTGAATGCTTAAGACTAAACGCTGGGCATCGTAATAACTTGTTACAGTTAATAGCCCAAATCGTTTATTGGACGACAATGCACAAGACACCTTCGGTGATTCCGCTTCGGTCCCTGACCTCATCTACCGACTCGCTCAGATCGCCAGTCTGATGACCGCTAGTGTTCTCATGTTCTGCACCATGTGCCCGATGACCTGAGATCCTAGCGGCTCGGAAGCCGCTGGAGCCAGTGTTAGCTGGGGAACGCGACGTACCTGTGCCGGTGCAGTCTGCGGGGGCTTCGGCCTGACGACAGAGTACAGGCGCCGGCTGCTGCTCGGCGCGGTCCACCTGGCGGCAGTGGCCGGTCCCAGCTGGCCTTGGGAGCTTGCGACGTCTGCTCGGCAGCCAGGCGGCAGAAGGTCGTCCCGGGCTGAGATGCGGCGAGCGGAGCGGCACCTCCAGGCGGCCGGGGGCGCGGCTCGCGACTGACTCTCAACGTGGCGCCGCCACCGCGCCGCGAGGTGCGCCAGCGCGCGCCGCCGCGATATTAGTGCGGCAGAGATGAAGCCGGCCGGGTGCGATATTGGGGTATTAATCGCCGTCCCGCAGCCGTGGCGCCCATATGAAGCCATCGGTCGGCGTCGCAGGAATGCAGCGGCCATATCCCGAACGCTTATTGCGTCTGTCAGACGGCGCCGGGCGAGACGGGCGCGGCGTGGTATTGGCGAGGAAAAACGCGCCAGAATATGGCGCGAGGTACCTCGAGGAGGCGCCGCGGGAAACTCGTCAGCGGCAGGCCGTCTCTTTCAGTTTCCTGGACGTGCTGATTAGGAAGTGAGTTTGCAAATGGGAAAGGGTATTTCATGCACGGTGCCCTCTCAAATTATGTTTGCAACGGACATACTACTACAATTTTTCACTAACCATTAACATGTTTTTGGTTACCTGCTGTCCAGCTATGCCAATGCTTTGCATACAATTCAATCCAATCTGTATCTTCATTCTGTACGCAATTCCATCCTACGTACACCAATGCAGCGCGAACAATCAAAACCTGTGCGCGAAACGACAGTCAGCAGCTTGACGGAAGACGCACTACATCCACGAAACTCGTTTTCGTCGACGAGCCGTGCGTTTCCTCTCCACACGGTGTCTCATACACAATAATTTAGTCATTTCAGTCATAACTAGCTGTACTGTTCTGTGGGGCATAGAGCCAGCTTCGCGATCCGCGTGCTATCCCGGAACATCCGACGTCAGTGTTCAGTCATGGATGCTCATCTCAAGCTGTGCTCTGGCAAGCCTGACGATCAGCCAAAGCAATCGATGTTTGTAGTGTCGCTCTCAGGCAAAGCCGAATATTTGCGCGTGTTCAAAATTCTTATGCTGAGTGAACAACCTTCCAGAAACCAGGAGATACCGGTTAAACGACACCCCGTGTTAAATAAACAACGATTGCACTGGCTCTCTTACTCTTGAGGATAAGCGCTACTTGCAGTTTTGTGTACCGCGCCAATATGATTGTTGTTTAGCACTATGCAAATGTTTAGCCAGTATCTCGTGGTGTATGGAAGGCCATTAACTCAGCATAAGAACTTTGAACTTATAATGCCGACAAACCAGGAGCTGAAGGCCCTTTTCTATATAATTTGCGTATGTTCTGTCTGAGTCCGTCCAATTGGCTGGCTCCATCACTGGGATGTTTGGGAAATGGCTCAAGCATAGTACTTATACTTGATAAAAGCAAGACAGGTCTCGAGCTGCCGGCTTATCGTGGTCATGAGTTTTACGTTATGAGCTTGAAGTTCTTATGCCAACAATAACAGACCCTGAATATATCAGGCGATGCTGATTAAACGACGCTATCAAGCAAATACTGGTTCCATTGTCAAATTTCCTTAGAACCGACGTTTGCTTGTTGACGTCATTTAGCCAGCCCCCTGCTATATTTGAGGTCAATCATCATCAGCATAAGAACCCCACACTAACAGTAGCTAGTTGTTTTCGTTGCTAATTTTAGTTGTCATACAGCATGGAGTACTCATAATCGCCGGAAATCGTACAGCTGCCTGTGACGTGGTGTATTAGAATTCGCTTTGATGTCAGAATGGACTTCCTTGCGTGCTGCGTTCATTGAAGCGTGTCTCATAACTTTACTGCCTAAGCGTGACCTGGAGGGGTCCAAAGGCGCGGGAGTCAGGCGGCGCGTCAGTGGCGCGAGCTGAGCGTGGTCCACGAATGGAGGGACATGCCCATGTCGCGCGGCGCGACATGAGCGCGTTTCCAACCATTTGAGAACCACCTGATCTGCGCGCTGCCGAACGCACAACACGACTTAATCGCACCTGTGCCTAGACCTCACTCGATCGTTCCAGCGTGCCAAGCCAAGCCAGGCTCACCTAATGGATGACGGCGCCCCCTTACCCGACATGTCCATGCCTGTGTCTCGGCTCGGTTGGGACCGCAGTCCATGCTGCGACCGAGCTCTTGTCGCGGCAGCCGCGCCTCGGCGGCCAGCGCCGTGCCGTCCCGGCGCCACGTGTGACCTCGGCGCCCGTCGTTCGCAGCACGCCAGCTCGACGTCCGGCTCCATGCTGCTGCCGCACATCTCGGGCGGCCACTCGGGCTCGCACAGCAGCCCCGAGACGCGCAGTCTGCTGTCGCGCGGCTCGTTCCAGCATTTCCCGTCCATCTGAGCCGACGGTGGCGCCGCGCGGCGGCCGACGCCCGACCTACCGGCGCCGGCTGCCTCCCCGCCCGCGACGTTCAGCAGGCGCCGTGTGACCTCGCGGCAGGCCGGCGCGTGGCCTCCCCGGAGACGGCGGGGCGGCTGGGCGGCGACCGGACGCCGTCCTGCTGGGCCCACTTATCTGCATCAGCGTGCCACTGGACCTAGTTATCTCTATTTTCGTATGACCTCGCGCCTGGCCGGCCTCGGCCGCGTCAGCGGACGGCGGGAGCCCCCTCCGGGCACTCTCGGCGCGGAGAGAGAGCAGCGCCCGCCCGCCAAACGCCCCACGTCACCAGATGCGCCCCTCCCCTCCCGCGGGGACGGCCCAGCGCACCCGAGCACCCGTTTGATGGCGTGCGTGCGCAGTCTGTGATACGTAGCCGGCCCTGTAGCGGCACCGGGCCGTCGTCAGCCCTCGTGTGTTGTGTGGGACAGGCCGTGACGTGTGTGTAGTGTGGTCGACTCCGGCCTGTCCCAGGAACGGCCGTCTGCAGGACGCCGACCGCTGCCCCCCACGGCCGCCTCCCCGACGGCGCGCCAGCTGCGGCTGCCACGTGTATGGGCATTCATATGCATGGGCATGTATGTGAAGTAGTCGGTCCGGTTTGATGACACAATTCACGATATCGTTCCGTTGGCACGATGCAGTTGGGTGCCGGCCATGCCACGCAAAATTACAAATAAAGAAATAAAATACACGGTAAAATAAAAGTACGGTGTGGAAGCACTCTCTGTCCTGATGGCATCAACGACGCAGGCAGCATAACTGCATGGCGGACCTATGTCCTAGACACGTCAGAGTTTTACATTTGCATGACGCAGCATGTTTAAGCGCATTGCAGCCACTCGTCAAACAACAACCGAGCCCAGCAACTGGTCCTTGAGTGTCATTGATGCCTCTTCCGCGGTGGGCCCCAATACACATTACACTGTCAGCGCCAGAGGCCTACTAGACCATCATTTGACGGGACAGAATAACGCTTGCCCGGGATTTCAAGACGTGAGACGGGTAGACACACAACAGGACATGCTAATATAGTTCATCGCATCCTCACAGAAACGCGAGCGGGCACCATCCAGCCAATGGAGCGGCTCGTCCAACTCTAGACACGAATCAGGCCTGGGACACTCTGCCAATGACCTCCTTTGACATCACCCGACGTCAGCGCGTCGACACGCGGCCACGGCCGACGTATCACCGCAAGTCTACCTACCGACATAAGCACCATCTGGGCACAACAGCCGCTCGCCCGCGCTTGCGCTGCTCCAGCACGCGCGCCAGCATGACGGCCGAGGCACGCCCGTCCTCGGCCACGTCCGGCTCAGGCTCCACCGCTACCGGTGTCACGGCCGGTGTCAGTGACACAGCGGCCGAAGGGACCGCCACGGGGCAGGTCGATGCCGCACGGACACGGTCTGCACAGGTCACAGACGCTGAGAAGCAAGTTTACTACAGGGTTAAGTCTGAATTAAAGGGAAGTAGCAGGTATAGGACCAAGAATGACAACATGAGGACCGGCGCTACGAGACATATAGGTTAAACAGGACTCAAATTATCATACAGCGACGAGTGTACATCTGCTTGTGAACTAAACATGTAAGTACGAGCGAGGCGCCTTGGGTGAGCGTGTCCAACTCGAACATCGAATTTTTAAACGGTCTTAAGGGCAGCACGTTTCCACACAGCTGATATCTTTGCAACTACAGGCTGGAGCTTCATATGGCAACTCTGGATACTTCATACTTGGGGCTTTAACAAGAAGGAATACTATTTCTGAAGAAAGCTGTGCTCTATGATATAAATGACAACACAGTTGTATTTAAGCTGTCGGATCACGCGCGATTTTCCAACATGGCTGTCACACCAACAAACTACAGCCTTGTCAATTCGACGGATATGGGAGCGTTAACAAATTGACTGCGAAAGACATGCATAACAAGGATCGAAACCGGGCCTGGATCTCCTGGACCCAACGTTGCAGCAGCACGAAGCCAACACCGTTTGATGGAGGAGGGAACAAACAGTGGCATTTGCAAGAGCATGGTTCTGTGCTTGGAGCCGGTTACGCGCGTTGGAGCGTGGACCATGGCTCCACCCGTGTTTTGGACCGGATCTCAGCAACCACGACATACAAAAACTGCAAACAGGTAAATAGCGCCGGCGAATGTGCCATTTGCAGGTCACTAACTGACCCCAATGGTGTTTAACATATTAGGCGTGCTGTGTGACACATGACAAGAAAATAGCTATCGTCGCTGTTTTTGAAACCGGTGCGCTGCTGCGCGAGATGTACCACGAAAATGACAAGAGTGCCGTCCAGTGCAATGCAGCCAATATTCAACCAAATAACTTGCTTTTGGGGCAGAAATTTGGTTGTGGTCGCCAAGAGCGGCAATGCTTCTTAAACGACTTGGTTACATAAATTTCTAAACCCATAGCTAGCCTAGCTTCATGGAGCGGACTTCATAGATCAACCGGTGATCACCACATCAGTGAGCCCCTATCTGGAAGTGTGATGAAAGACAGGCGAGTAAGCAATCACAATCTGACCAAGGCATTGGGAATCTCCCGCACCACACATGAATCCTGCTGGTCTGGTTGTCTCTCCACCGTTCCGATCCCATCCGGATACCGCCGACAGCAGCGTCGCCCCGCATCGCCGACGGCCCAACAGATGGCGCTGGTGCCGCCGGGCATCGCACTTTGAGCTCCGTGGGAGGGCGGCGGGGCAGACAGGGCTTGTCGGCCTCGGTCGGGTGGGGACACTCAGAGTGCGCCGGCCTCAGTCGGATGGGGACACTCAGAGTATGTCAGCCTCGGTCAGATGGGGACACTCAGAGTATGTCAGCCTCGGTCGAACGGGGACACTCAGAGAACGCCGGCCTCGGTCGGGCGGGGACACTCAGAGTACGCCGGCCTCGGTCGGGCGGGGACACTCGGAGCACGCCGGCCTCGGTTGGGTTCGTTCACGTCTCTATCTGACGCCCCTTTTCATTTTTCTCTGTGCGAAGATGTCCCTGACAAGCAAGATTGATACCTGCTGTGAAGTTTGCACGGAAGCTCCCGGTGTGACTGGCATCTGCTCAAAAAGGGGCATCCCGACCGGTTGTATATTCGGAAGCGATCAGTTTGATTCAGCTATGTACCGCTATCAGCATAAATGGAAACGGTGACTCGATCACCAGGTAGAACTGTACCATGATGGTGGATATGTGTTCTGGTTGAACCTGGCAGTGGCACATTATGCCGGTGAAGCTCTCAGACAGCTGGAGCAACCTAAGTCCCCCAAGTGGGACGAGCAGAAAACGTCTCAAATGTGTCTCAGTTGCTGCCAATCGAGGACTTTCTGGGATTAGCCAAACAGAAAGTGTGCTGGGTTGGCTGACGGGCTACAACTGACGACCAGCTGAAGTGCGCTGGGTTGGCTGGCGGGCTACGACTGACGACCAGCTGAAGTGTGCTGGGTTGGCTGGCGGGCTACGACTGATGACCAGCTGAAATGCGCTGGGTTTGCTGGCGGGCTAGGAGTGATGACCAGCTGAAGTGCCGTATTCGCCGACAGCTGGATGCTTTTAACAAGAAGGTCTCGCGCAACACGATGAGGGTAAGACAACGCGCTCGTGCAGCAGCGCGACATGGGGAGTGCGTTGGTTCTTTTCTTGGTCAGTACGTCGGTCCTGGCTCTTTATGTTATGCTCTTGATCGCCGCACGGACAGTGGAATGTCACAATTTGAATGACATTATTATGGCGTCATGTATGGTTGGATGACCTTGACATGGTCTCCCCGAAATAGTCTGCACATCTTCGCGGACGTATGGCTCAGAAACCAGAGGGGTTTTGGTCTTGAGAAGGGCGTGACTGTGAACTACACCGGTTGATCTTCAGGGTGGCTTTTTCAGCTTAAAACCCCATACGACTGTGGAACATTCCCTTTACGAAGCCAATACTGTGCCCGGCCGGCTCCATGGGAGCCTCTCGGATGTCGCGGTGGGCGCGCCACTGCCAGGGAGCGCTGCTCTGCAGGCTGGGTCTGACCTCCAGACGACACCGCTGCTGCCCCGCCGCAGAACAAGCGTCTCCATCGCTGCGAACATCCCAAGGCCGGCTGGGGCCAGTCATTGCCACCAGACGGACCGCACACACGCGCAGCCGGCGCCAGTCCTCTGTCGCCGGGCCGACGAGCAGCTGGCCTCGCCGGTGCCCGCGCCTCTCCTCGGAACAGGTACGTGGTGTTCCCCAGCTGGCACTGGCCTCGTCGGCTTCAAACGTCGCGAGAATATGGCGTCGCAGGGTACGCATCGGACAGATGGCAAGGCTAGATACCGGTCGATCTCTCGTGGAATGAGTCCGCAAACGCTTCACTGTTACGCTATCGGTCATGCTCCGTAACAATAAACAGATATCGGACTGTACAAGTAGTCACAGTTGATTACAGAAGCAAAGAGTCCACAGAGCGAGTCTCACGCTGTATACAAGCGTTCCGGTGAAAGGCCCTGCTCGACTCGATCAGACCATTGCGTGTTTTACCAGCTCTCATCGGCCCCTCTCCCCCCCCCAAAAAAAAATGTTTGATATCCGTGCAGCTTTCGCTGACATGCACTAAGTGGGTGGTGCACCTTCACATTACCACGGAAGCTGCCAGTGTCTGCATCCGCCTACCTCGTCTTGCCTGCTGGTCCAGAGCAGTGATACAGGTCACCTCTCTGAGCGCTCGCCAGGATCAGGAGCTCGGGTCACCTATCTAATCGTTCGTACATGATAAGAAAAGCGGAACATGGTACAGATCACCGCGTGCGGTTCGGTGGAGGGTCAAAGACCACAATTGTCGCCTTAGGCCTTAGTTGCCAAGGCGCAGCCAGGATCCGAGCCAGGACACCCCGCCAGAGAGCCGAAAGTCCCAGGCACCTGGCCATTCCCTCCCCCTTTTCTGGCGGTCCGTTTGGAACAAAAGCATTGCCATTCTTTTTTGGGCATTGCTATTTTTCACTCGATGTGGACCTCTGACCTCAAATGTTGGTCGTTTTCTCTGACCGTTCATAAGGAGCAGTAAAACCCGCAATCCTCGCAGTAAGATGGAATCTGCACAGGGAAGCGTATCCGATTCACAGGTAGTAAGTCTGCAGTATTATCCCTCCCACAGATGGCCGGGTGATCACAATGGGCTCGGAAAGAGAGACAGTTCCACTCCCCATCGGTGAAGAATGGTGGAAAGTTATGTGAACTCTACTAAAAATTAAGTTAAAGGAAAGTTATGTGAACTCATAACTAAAAGTTATGTGAAGAATGGTAAAAAGTTATGTGAGGGATATGTATGCATCCCCGAGCTGTGACCTGCAACCCCGATATCTTTTCCAAGCAAAACGCCTCTCACGGCTACTTCAAGTCAGTGCTTTTATGTGAACTTAAGAATGTTATAAGGGCGATGGCAAAAGGTCTTTTGAGATCAGTTTGGTGCTTTTCATCTCTCTGCATCATCAGAACAGCTATTCAGTTGTTTACAACTATACAAAGTATGCGCCGCTACGTCACATGATCCGAAAATTGCTGTTTTTTGCCATCCCTAGGGCGGAGGAAAGCGTTAAGTATGAGACAAACCGACCCCACCCGAACGCGTGTTAACCCACAACAAACGCAACACTTCCGGGATCTCGATGCAACACTTCACATGCACGGTGATATGACGAAACTATGCTTAGCATTGGTCCGTTGTCTGTACTTACGATTTTTCATCGCCACAATGCTAACTCGGCTAGTGCACAGATAGTTTAGTTTCACTGTTTTTTTTAATCCAGGCTACGCCGCACTCACAATGTTCCTTTTCTCTGGTCTGCAATGGTATCGGTTTTTATTTCAAGGAACATCATCTCTGTTGTCTTGCCAGGAACGTCATCAAATAAGTATTTCAGGGACACCAGAGACTAGGGTGGCCACATGTGTTCAGAGGCCACAAATTCAACCGAGAATCGCATCCAGACTTCTCCCGTGGAGACACATGTCGTTGCCAACTGAGCTATTGCGCCCCCGAGCTGTCGCACCTTGCATCTCGGAGCATTCACAGCGGCTCTGCCCCCGTCCACAGAGTGATCGTCGCCACTACCGGTCCCCTGAGACCCCCACGCCACGAGCAGAGCCCCTTGGCCACGTCCCCACGAATGACGTTTCCAGGACTTCACATCACCCGATGACGCCCATGGGCTCCGTCCGCAGAGATGTCGTCACCGTTGCCGTTCCCCTGGGACCCGGAGTCTCTCGATCCGGAGACCCTGAAGCGCGTGACGGACGCCTTCCCAAACCACAAGGAGAGTGGCATGGCCTATTTCGGGCCGTCACGCTGCCTGGCCGTACCAGACTCGAAGCCGTTCTTCGAGGAGTACTACAATACGCCGCTGCACTCGGGAGATACCTGGGTCGTGACGCTGCCCAAATGCGGTGAGAGGCGGCGCTCGCCAACAGCGAGTGCGAGGCCTCACCACGACTCAGAACCATTCCGGGTGTTTGGACGTGCTCGTTCTTTGGTTCCAGTGTGTCAGTTACTTAAAGATTAAGTGAGCAGTCCTTGACCGTGTTATTCATGAGCGGAGCTTTAAAAGCGAGTCGCTCCCGATAACACGGTTGCCGTTTTCCTTAAGAAAGTAGACGTTTTGAAATAGCCGGCTGCGCGCGGCGGCCAGGATGGTACCTCCGGTCCAAATGGGCTTGTTCTGCAACCGCAGACAGATGTTCATTTGTCTTCAGGCAGTTTTGTTCCATCCATCTTCATCATTCATGCTTCACTTTACCTGTGTCATGATCAACTTTGTTCTCACTCATGTGAGAGTTGCTTCTCGTAACCTAAAGCACGCAACGCTGCCTCCTAAAGGCGTTCAAAGCTATCACTCACCACGCAACCAACAGCTTAACTGCTGATGCTCCCCTAAATAAACAGAAAATAACTTGCCGTTGGGTACTACTGACCTCTGAACCGTACACTCGCCAGGGACCACGTGGACGCAGGAGCTGGTGTGGCTGCTACAGAACGACTGCGATTTTGAGGGCGCCAAAACCATGCTGATGCCCGACCGCTGGCACTTCCTCGAACCCGCGGGAATTACGGAGAAGGGAATGCGCGAGATGGTCAGCAAGGGCGACGACCAGCCCATGAAGCGACTTCTGTGCGAGCCGATCGTGTCGCGGCCGCAGCCCTGGTTTGTCAAGACTCACCTACCGCTGCACATGTGCCCGCCCAAACTGCTCGACACGTGCAAGGTGCGTGGACGAGGCTTACCGACCGCCGAAGTGACTCGGATGGGTCGAGCGTGCGGCACCCGGGAATGCATGTGCTGTGGCGGCGTCAATGGACCAAGCGTTGTTTTGCTGTGCATTGAGCCGTGACCCATGTACGGGAGCGATTTCAATTAAATATGAACCGCGGCGTATTTACTTAAGTGACTTGATGCAGTATGCATGGAAGGAGAGATATCATGATCTCACGCACGCGTCGTTTGGCGTTTGTTATTCTCGGATCTAAATAAGTTTGCACGCAACTCATACTTCCGTTTTTGACCAAAACTACCCACCTTCTTTTTCAGGTGGTGTACGTGGCGCGTAACCCGAAGGATGTATGTATATCGTACTTCTGCTTCCTTGGCCTGTACAACGAGACTTCCAAGGACCTTACCCTCGAGCAGTTTGTCGATCTCTTCATTGAGGGCAACGTCTTACAGCTACCCTTCTTCCCACACGTTCTAGAGGCCTGGCGGCAGCGCAACCACCCAAACATGCTGTTCCTTTTCTTTGAGGATCTTAAGAAGGACCTCCGTGGAAGTATCATGAAAGTTGCCAGCTTCCTTGGCAAGAACCCAACCGAGGAAAATCTGGACAAGCTGGAGGACCATCTGCACTTTAGAAACTTCAAGAATAACCCTTGGGTGAACTGGGAGTGGCTGACGAAGACTGTCTGTAACAGCGACGACCCGAACAAGAGCTTTATGAGGAAAGGGCAAACTGGAGACTGGAAGAACCACTTCACGCCAGAAATGGACAAGAAGATGGAAGCGTGGATAAAAAAGGAACTGGAAGGCACTGAGCTCACATTTGTCATGGAAATTCCGGAAGGTGGAAAGTAACTTGACACATTTCTCTCAAAGGGTCAACGATATTCGTCTTAAGTTGATCGCGAGCCAACCAGACAAGATGCCCAAACCGGCAAAAATGCGTTGTTGTCTGATCATATCTCCTGGTTCATTGTCATCTTCTGACGCTGCAACATTCCGGTCCACTTAATCGCATTGACAATGAACTCCACTAGAACTGGTCGTGTCTTTTTATGCCTGTTAAATGTCCTGCCCGTGTTGCAGCCATGCTGCGATGTGCATGTGTTCGACATGTTGGATATCTTAACGGCGTCATGATGGCATCGGTTCCCAGGGAAATCCCGTGGAGGAAATGTGGCAGGGATGATTTTTATGGTTAAGTCAGCCAAATATTGTTTAAGTCATCAAATATGTTAGAAAATATGTAATTTATTTGCTACTGTGACAACACATTTTTCAGGCTCCCATATACCAACCTTGGGAATACGAAAACCAGTCTTAGAATAAGTCGCGACTTGCGTAATAGCACTGTATTTATATTTGTGTTTAGGCAGCACGTGCATCCACACTCACAGGTGGTTTTACACACCTCAGTGAAAAGGAATAACAACATACATGTCAGTTGTGAAAAAAGGAGAGCACAGGCAGAACATGAAAGGCCCAGATTCACACCGAAGTCAGCAAAAGGTAAAGCAAGCGCACACGGATCCAAAACATCTTGAAAACGGCAACCAGGTGGCCAAAATGAGACGCGTGATATAAGTGGTAAGAACGGTCTGGTCAAATCCATACAACGCAATATCATTTGTGTGAGGCACCTTTTTAAGCGTGGCATGCCTAGCTGCGCTAGCACTGGTGACACCCTAAAAAACTTGCTCGACGCACATGCGAGCCGCCAAATGGATTTGCCCGCGCACCACGAAGCCGACGTGCTTTCCTCGTGCTAGAACTGTTTGAGACTATGGCAAGCATGTCAGCTATGTCAGTAAGTTGCTGAGTGTCGAGTGCCGTCTCCATGGGACACGTCGGATGACATGACACCATTTGCTGGCTCGAAGTCATCCACATCATTAACACATCACAGATGTGCTCCTCGTCATGTTCTTCCGTTCATGGTTGCTCCGTGCACTGGTCACACGGGCACAGAAATTTACACTTTTTGATGCGGTGCAACAGGGTGTTTTCCCATCCACTGTGCATTGAAGTGCAATAGCGCATTGCGCTGATAACTGATAATGTCTTCTTGCTACACTATTGGCACAAAGGTGTGGTGGTTGACGCGTCTGCGTTAACCACTGCGCGTCTGGAAACCACAGGTACGGGGCTCGACTCCCCACGGTGCCCGGCCCTTGGTGCTAGGGCGAGAGGCAGGCAAAGCCCTACAGCCCCAGCAGCTGATTGCGTCGTGAAGTCCCAATGACTCACGAGCTGATAACTCAAACGTTTACAATGCGTATGGTGATGAGAGATGGCAGAAGAGGCTTGAAGTGCAACGACGGAATTAGTTTGCCTATGGTTGTAAAGCGAGCATGCCACGTTTGTACTTTTACCTATTGTTAGATCGGACGCGTAAGACTTGATCAGCAATACCAGTTTTCTCAAAATCCTTTCAGAATAGTCCAGAATTTCTGTTCGAAGAAGCCGATCCTGAGCGAGAGATTTCATTTGGATGCGTTGCTCACCACTATGACAATAATGCAGTTCATTTGCCTCACCTTCTCAATCGTATGTGTTCTTTAATGTTGGCAACTCTCTAATTTGTCAAAATGTTTGTGTAATCAATGCCACGAAAGCTTGAAACACTCTAAGACAAAAACATATGCGAACATGAAGCTATTACCCGCGAATTCAATGAAATGCTATACAATGGCTTCGATTTCTCCCCTATGGCGTTTACCACAGCAGCTCTTTCCGAAGTGCAATCTGTTTTTTGGAATTGGAGCATGTGGTCAGTGGGTCAATCACGAACGGTCCATTCCTCGCACAAGTATGGGTGTCGCGTCGGTCGTCATGACGACAGCGGTCGCGACTTCAAGAAAGAATTGAAGTGCTGTTTTGAGGCGTTGACACCGTAATTCAGACTCGAAAATAACGAAAAATTGCATTTTGCTTATGTCACAGCGGTGCTACAACGGCGCTAATTAGTATTGTTCTTACATATAACCAGTCCTGACCTTTCGCTAGAGTACATTTTTGAAATGTGCTCCAAACATGTGACACTTCCTTCAACCAGCAGCAACTTGACATAGCCATCAAAAGAAATGCAGCGAGTCATGATGGTATCGATAATTTCAACCGCTCTACTTTCAGAGAAAAAAGCAAAATTGTCATTTTTTCTACACACGTAATAATTTGCCCAGTGTCTTGACGGTTCGAAACCCAATCATCTGGGTTTTCAATGCATTGCCTTTGATGGAGTTCGCGCAATACCAGTTGGAAACGTTTTCTAGTGTTGATTCCATGGATGTAGTTAAATGATCAATGTAGCGCTTTTTGCTCCAGAATAAAATTTGTGCATCATCAACATATCGCCAACTGCTCGCCAAATCAGAGTAGCGCGTGAGATCGTTTGTGAGAATTAAGTAAAATTGGTCCCATTCCAATGTTTTGTTACCCCCGCATGGTCATTGGAAGCGATGTAGAATGTGTAAGCTTTCCTGTGCTGTTCCGAACTTGGACCTGTTTGGTATAACCTGCGAGGTAGTTAGAAACCCACTGGGTAGCGATACTGTAGCGCGTACGTTTAGGTAAAAGCACCCCGTAATCAATAAAGTCAAAACATACTGACAAGTCCATCAACACGACTAAATCAATTTTACCGCTCTTCATTGAGGACATCGTACGCAATAATACGGCCTGACGGAAAGAATAGAGTAATCTCGCCTGAAAAGTGCCGTCTATAGCTGTGTAGATTGTTGACAGGCAAACGGTGTTTGGTAGAGTATTTCGCAAGCTGGCTGTGTGGGATTTCCCCCCCAAAAAAATTGCGATTGCATGCACTATGGAACTTGATTCATTGGAGTGGGTCGTCTAGATCGGTTGTCTTTGGAAGCGCCGTGGTGTATGCGTGCTACCACGTTCCAGGGACGTGTCCAAACACGAGGCTGGAGCGATGTTTAATGGTCTGATTTGGTCTTTTACAGGTCTAAAAGGACATACTCAAAGCCACTGTAGCACCTCTCAAACACCTGAACACTTTCGTCGTCATCACAAGACGATTTCGATGATTTCCTGGATGACACCAGGTGCCAGAGGCATTGGAGCTTTACAGAAGACACACGGAATGAACAGCCGGCAAGTCGTGGCATTCTGAACGGCATATCTCGCAAAACTGGGGGGACGCTCGTTGCCATGGGCACTGCCACCCCTTCGAAATGGCGGTTTAATGCGTCCGTGTTCACATTGGGACCAGCGGCTGCCAATGCCCACTTCGCTGGGCAAATTACCCACCTCGAGGCAAATAAAATTTGGTCGAGGTGGTCGAAACCTATTATATTCAGGCAGCAGGACATGACAACTAGCGATTCTGGCTTGGCTCTAATAATCTATCATGCAAACTCAAAAAGAACCATGGGAACAACAAGGGCAACGCGCACACCAGTACGCAGCACGGCAGTGAAGCGGTTTGCGGCAACCCTGAAAATTGGCGAGTTACACGGTCTATGCGTAGGATGCATTGGGCTGCGTGGTTGCAGTCTGTCGTCGCATGTCTTTCATCCGCAGTCCGCTTGACCCATACGCGGTGACCATAATCACTGATTAAGGTTGTGGTCGCCCTCAACAATTACAATGCCTGGGCGTTTCGAAATTGCATACCTGACCTAATGTTTGAAGTCGTCTATATCAACTCCGACCTGACCAACGGCGTTTGCTGCTGTCCATAAAAGCCCGTAATGCTGCACATCGCTTTGCGGCGGTGCAAATCTCAACCCAGTCTCGACATCTGATGCGCCTGAAGCGCGGGGCACGTCGACATTCTGACCGCAAAGGCGGCGCCGACAACCACGGCGACGCGTCCGCGCCTTTGCTGGGGGAGCCTGAGACTGGTTTATTACATTCGCAATGGTGGATGTTACACCGTCGGCCGTCAGCAGTCGCTGAGGGACTTCCGGTTGGACTGCCCGCTGTTCGACAGTGCAACCGGGAGATCTATGTGGGTCCACCTATCCTGCACCACTAAACCCTATCAAATCATGATAGACATAAAGCTGAAACTGGACATAAGCGAGACAGGCCTTGAGCTCTTGGTTCCTCAGCATCACGAGTTACGAGTTCTTGTGCTGACGATAAATGATCTTCGGTGACAGCAATGGACCGTCATGTTTCTGGCGAACCTTCCTCGGGTATAATTACATGCGCTGGGATGTGGCAAATCTGTGCGGCACTCTTCCCATAAAAGAAGATTAGCATATGATAATGAGTCACTGAGAAAAATCTTAATAACACATGTTGAGTTCAGAACAGCGAGCAGTGGACTGTGCACAGCTGCTAACTCACACATCTAATAAACAAAAACTCACGCGCTTCGAAAACTCGGTGTGCCCAGAAACAAAAGGCGTGGGGATGGATAGCCGCTGTGCACCATCCCTGGCTACATTTACAAGCGGTTCGTGCCTGCTTCGCTGCAGGAAGAGACGACATCGGCAGCGTCGGTGGCGGCGGCGATTTATACACGTGATTGGGGCGCCCGAACCGGGTTCCAACCATGCAACCTCCCACAATTGTGTTTTTTAGCGGTGTTTTTGACCTCTGTCACCATGACTATATCATGGCGAGCTAGAATTGTTTTTGGGCTAGGGTGGGAGTGAAAAATTTCATCGCAAAAAGACCGTACAGGAGTGAAAAATTCGATTAGCAAAAGTTGGACTTTATGAGTCAGTGAAATATGCTCCAGCAAACAAATACATGCATTTCAAGCTGGCATGGATGTATATCACAAATATGACAAATTACGTTTTTTTGCTTCTTCTCATCCTAGGTCATTACACTGAAGCAGAAAACATTAGATAATAATTATTTCATAACAGTGGGATGAGCACCAAAAACTATGTAACACCAATGTTTTGATGCTGCACTTTGCACTTCCCTTCTGCAGGATTTCTTGACATCAAACAAAGCAATTGAATTCAACAACAAAAACAATAACCAAAACTTCAAAAAGCATAAAGTATCCCGATGAAAAAGTATTGAACTCCTGCACAATCACCAAATCAAATAAAC